CTATAAAATTTTATTGACAATAACGAGACGAACAGTATTACAATAGTAAGAAATATTTATGGCTCACACCAGTTCACCCAAATTTGTCGGTGAACATTTAGCAGGTAGTTGTACTCATAAAATAATGGTCATTTTCGTTCGTGAGTAACGATGATCCGTGTTCGGACCTGGATTATTCTGCTTTCTAACATCTGGGGATTATCGGCATGCGACAACTTTAAGTTGTAAATATCTCTTACTATTGTACTGCTGTCCGTCTTGTTATCGCCAATAAAATTTTGGTGGAATGAAAGTTCTAAAACTATACTTCGCTAGAAACAGAATTTCTAATTTTTGTTATCAAAAAATTGCAATTTTGTTACTAGAGAGAACTTCTCTTTTTCGTGGCCGTAAAATGTTGAATTACTACTTTCATATTTTCTCGACGTGTCATGACCTCTAGAATACGAAAAAAGTATGTCTGTCTATCTGTCTGTCTGGTGTCTGTTTCCACTTTTAGTATGCAAGTAATCTCAGAAACTACTGGACCGATTGTTGTCAAATTTTGTATGTATATTAGGAATATCACGTGGATGGCAAAACGCTAACCAAACTAATTTTCCCCACCTGTAATTTGATGATCTCAGACGATTCTAAATTAAAATGACTTAAATGTTATACATTAGTATGCTCCTGTGTTTGTAATGTACAAATCTGCTTTGAGTTTTTTCCCTAAACGGCCAAATTTTCAAAAAAAAAAAATCAATTTTGCGAGTAACGCCTGTAAACGCCTTCGATTCCCAACGCTTCTCTTACACTGTGACTAGTACCCTCTTTATTGCTTTTATTGCTTAGAGGTTATCATAAAAAAGTAAAATTTCCCAAAATCAAGTTTTATAATTTTCCAAAGAACAGGATTTGTTGGGCTGTCCTTCAAAGGCGAGGGAAGTTCTGTCAAAATAAACTTCCACCAATTTTTTAAATTAATTAATTTACGCTTTGTCTCTTATTATGATATTGTTATGAAATAAACCCATACGCTGCCCCGGGACGACGGCGACGCCTATGGGTCTTTTAGTATGTATGTGTTTGTTCTAGTATGTAGTATGACTCATCGACCGGGCGGCCGGGCGTTCGCTACAGAAAAGCCTGGAAGCGGAAGTCGCCAATGGGTGCTCCCGAGAAGTCTAGAAGCGGTGACGTAAGTTTTTCGAGAAGAACCGTGTGCTGTTTAAATGGAAACCACCGTCGGGGGCAGTTAGTGCAGTCGAGTTCAACGAGTGTAGGGAAAACCCAGTAAATGTCGCTCCGGAATTATTTTGTACATAATCGCTCTGTAATTAGTCGTGTAAATCCGAGTTATTAAGAAATAAATTGTTGAGTTTTACCCACGCCGATTTTATTCACCGATCAACGTAACGATATTATTGTTAAGAGTGGCACTAGCTTCCTATTTGTCTTTACACCACGTGGCAGGTTGTTGATAAAGATATTAAACAAGGTCGGAGATAGGCAAGATCCTTGTGGTGTTCCCTTGACATTTTGCCATTGGAGGTTACCCTTTGAACTCGCTGTTTAAGATATGAAGTGAACCATTTAAGAGGTGGACTTCTGATCCCTACGTTTTGTAACTTATTTATTAATATTCTGTGGTTGAATGATCGAGATAAATTAGAAATGAGACTTGTAAGATGCTTTGTGTTATTCACGGCTTTGTGAATATTTGTAGTGTCTATATCAAGAGCTGTTTGTGTGGAATTTCTTAATCTATAGCCATTTTGATATTTGGAAATTGAACAATATTTTTCTAGATAATGTGTCAAGTAATTAGTTCTGGAATATTTTTACAAGCGGACACTGTAATTACTGATTTCTTGTTACTTCCCTACCGTCCATCGACGTTTCATCATACCTAGGGAATGAAAAAATAGGTCCTCGTTTCCGTCCGTCTGGACATCACCTCAAAATTTTGCATGATAAATGCTATTTAAACTTTGTAAAATAACTTGTGGTTGAAAAATTTGCTTTGATTTTTACTTCCCGAACGTAATCGAGTCCGTCCGAAGAAATGCCACTTTTATGTTTTCTCGGCGTTACGACGTTAATTACTCTCCCGTTTCTGTCTGTCTGGATCAATTTCTATTACACATGTAATCTCCGAAACTAAAATATATAAATAAATACTTGAGCTTCAGATTGCTGTTACCTAGTGCTGGAGGACATTTTATCAGGTTAGTTATGTGCTTTATTTAAAGAGCTGGATTGTCGGATTATGCTTATAGCCTTCGACCAATTTTTTATTGATCAAATTAAGAACCATTTCTAGAAAATGTGAGAACAGCCACGTCTTTATTTAATTATAATTAAATAAGAATAATAATAATCATATTCAAAACATTTTGTTCCATTGTGATTTATTTTAATAATAATTTTAATTCTCTGTTTTGAGGAAACAACTCATTCAAATTAAACAAATTTCTTCGTGACATTATTTCAATGTATAAACATAAACAGGGGAGTTAAGCATGTACACTGATAATAATTCACTCTTTTCCGTTGGTTATCGAGGTGTCATTGACACCACTGATGTTTAATAAAAGTATAAAGGTTATCAGAAAACAATTTTTTTTAATAATTTTTCAAGGAAGCGGAATTTGTTGGATTGTACTTCAAGATTGAAGTAACCTGTGACCAATTTTTTTACCCCTGCAGACCCGAATATTCCGAAATCTTGCAAATGTTTTAACGTTGTCCTAAGCCTTAACTAATTTAGTTAACTCCTTTGTGTCATAAGCTCATAAGTGATCCAATCCATTCTTTTTGGTGGAATATTTAAATAACAAACAAATTAAAAGCAAAGGTCAAATGATACCCACATTGTTTACTGCGACTCATTGAGTGAAAACACTAGTGCTTATAAAATATGTAGATACTAACCTAAATGAGTAAAAGCTACTTTTACTTATTCATTTCCGTAACCCGAATAAAATACCATCAATAAAATAAAGCAAAAACCACTCTCACACCGCCCATTTATATTGAAATGAATGGATGCATGAATGATGATGGAAGAAAAATTTCCACCTGCGCATTGTCTCAAGAATGCCTTACGGTCCGCTTTGCACGTCGCTAAAGCAAGAAGAATAAATCGCCAAGACAAGAATCAGAAAGCTGCGAAACAAAAAGTGGAGATAAGACTGAAGTATACAATATTTTAATAAAAAATGTCTTGTCGCACGCGAGTAACGTTCCGTTCCTTTTCCCTATTCAATTTTATTCAAAATACAGTCAATATGAAAAGCGTGTAGCTTTTTTCCCCACTTTAGCTCGATTTGACGCAGAATGGCTCAATATGAGTTTTGGCGAATGGGTTTATTGTTGGAGGGATCGCATACGGGGTGGCGCAAGTAAACACTTTCACTGCGGTTTTATTTGTGCGTATTGCGTGAATGTGTGTGCGGAATTTTTAATGCGTGTGGTGTGTACACTGCATTTGGAAAATAACGAATCGAAAAATCAGAAGAACTAGTTTTGTCAAAAACTACAGTCGCTTTAAAAATGTCGTGTTAGGTTAAGAAGAATTTTAAGCTATAATTTTGAGCATAAAGTAGTGTAAACCGACAGGTTAATTGGCGATTGGGTTGTGGAATTTTGTAAATGACCAGATTATCAATCAAAATGTTCAAGGTTGTTACAAACTTCGGTTATTAATTAATATTTAAAATTCCAACACATTATTCCCCACCCTAGTTCTAGAAGATTTTTTCTTTTAGATGTAAAGCTTGAACAGATCAAGTCATTTGTGAAAGTGTTAGTTCAACTTAGGAAATCTTCAAATAGCCTTAGGAAGAAAGAAATTTTCAAATTTAACTTTCGTTTTCTGTACTTTTTTTAGTTTGTTTCCTTTATAACTTTAGTGCAATCAGTAATCAGTAAGATTTTATCCCGACTTGCATCAAAGATTGCACTGATGGTAAAATTTTGTTGGATGTTATAAAGTGATTCTAAAGAAGTGTCAAAAAGAAAAAAAGAAGGAAAGAAAGAAAGCAGTGCTATTGTCACTTCTGTTTTAAAATAATTTTTGTATTCTTCAGTTATACCTACCGAAAGTTTGTGGTTATTAATTTATTCTTCCATTTTTTACTACATGAATGTACTAAATAATAATAATTGTTGATGAGTTGAGACGATACGTTTTAATTTTGCGAAAGTGAATTTGTTACGAATTGAGTTTATGGGTATATTGTTGACCTAAATTTCATGTCGTAACTGAAAAATGGCCGTAAATATTCAGCTATATTCAAGAACTAGTGCCTAACTAATTCGGGGTGTAGTTCAACTGAACAAAATTTCCACTGCAGCTAGATTTTAATGAGATATGTTAGTAATAACACGTTTATCAAGAATTATTTGTTGGTCTTTTAACAAAAGCTATTGTCGTATTGGCATAAAAATTAGCGCTTATTCTGTATTCGAATTAATGTAGTCAAAATAGACAGCATTTTACAATTGAACTAAATAATTTTTGACATTTTTTTCAATTTCAGAATTGTATTTATTTTTGTGAATATTTTATCGTATATAATTTGATTCAAGAAAATCATTAAAAAATTTCAAAAAACCTTGTTCTGAACAAGTTCTAACTTTGATTTTTGCTGCAAAAGTGTATAGTCAAAAATTAGAATATTTTGCTTTATCATCATAGAGCAAACAATTTACTTTGCGGTGTGGCGGTGTGAACTGACCCCAATCTAACTTCTCTAAAGACTTGTTTTTACTAAAATAGAAAAAATTACAAATCGAGAAAAATGTAGAGAATTCGTCCGCAGGAATCGAGTATAAAATGGCTTTAGCGCTTGCTTATCGGTTATTTTCCGCGTAGCCCTGCCTACGCACGCAAAGCAACCTCCTCGAACGAATGCAAAAGCTGCCGCCGCGAAGGCCCCCAATGCACCACCCCGCACGTCCCTCTCGGAATGCGTTTAATCGAGAGAGCCGCCCCAAGAATTCCTTTGACGTACCGTAGGCATGAGCTGATCCGTGCTTCGCACTCTCGTCACTTTGTTCTTGTAGATGAGCTTCTTTACCAGCCTCTCCATCGGCTGATTCCACTTCATGAAGCTGACATAGGCTATATAGAAGGAAAACAGCACCAGCGCCTCGTACCAGTAGATGTGGTTGTCCTTGAAGAAGATGATGAGCGTGATGAGGCTGAGCGAGTAGAAGAAGCAGTCCCTGAACAACGGCCACCAGGTGAGCGAGAGCACCGTTTTGGAGAAGATCGCGCACATGCCGATCACGAAGAGGATGTTGAAGACGGCGGAGCCGACGATCGTGCCGATGCCGACGTCGTCGAACGAGACGAAGACGCCGATGACGCTGGTGAAGAGTTCGGGCGCCGAGCCGCCGGCCGCCATGAAGGTGGCGCCGGCGACGTCGTCCTGGATGGCGAGCTTCTCGATGATGACGTCCAGCGCCGGCACGAAGAACTCGTCGCAGACGATGGCGAGCGCCACGAACATGTAGACGACGCCGAGGATGTGCAGGAGGATGGCGCCGCTGCGCCGCTGCTCCTCGGAGAAGAGGTCGGGCGGGAAGAGCGGGTCCGGTTGCTTGGGCTCCTCGGACGGCGACGGCGACGGCGCCAGCGTCTCGTTGGCGTCCTGGGCGGCGACGGCGGCCAGCGCGAGCGACAGCAGCAGCGCGCGGGCGGTCATTGTGGCGGCAGCGACGGGGGCAGCCGGGTCGACGGGCTCATTGCCACAGCGAGGCCGGGCGCGGACTGGACCGCCGCTCGATAAAAGGAGCGAGAGGAGTGCGCACTCTGCACTGCACCACCCGGCGCAAGGACGACACGCACAGGCTCACGGCGGCGGCGGCGGCGGCGGACGACAAGGGATCGGACGGTGACGGAGGCGGTACCGGGGCAGCACCGGGTGTCGGAGTACCGACCAGAAGGCAACCAAAACAACACATTGCTAACGAAAAAGTTATACTGTGACAACTTTCCTCGCCTTTGAAGCATATCCGATGCAACTCGAGGTGTATTTTTCAAGAAAATCTTCTTTAATAATCTTTGAGATAATATAATAATAGAGTTCATAACATCCCAATGCCCTCACGTAAGGCAACAACGTGACATTTTCAATTTTTCTTGACCTGTTGATATTTCTTAAACCAAGGTATAATAACCTACTTTAAGAAGACGAAAGATAAATGTAAACTGTTTTCAGTAACAGACTCTACTTTTAGTACACAATATAAAGATCTACTATAAATATATGTATTATAAAAATTATAGCTTTCTTAACTACACAAGAGAGCAAAAATTGCGCAGCACATATTATTTTAAGATGACGTCATCAGTGGTTTGGAAGGGACAAATAATCGACTTCTGGATCATATTTTGTAATCTTCGTAATAATATTAAACTACAAATTTCATTTGTGTTTATGCAGAATCAAACTACCGCGTAATTTATAAAATTTCTGCTCCATTTGGCCGTGATGCGAACGTCAGTAGTACAACTGAAACGGTTGACGTAAGCGTCATGGCCACCAGAGTAGAAATTTACAAAATCACACAAAATACATAAGAACAGTGAATGAGTATCATATTTTAAATAAACGGACAGTTTTTCTATGTCCTTACGTATTTTATTCTTGTATATCTTGTGGATTTTATACAAATTACTATTATTTTTGAACATATTTAACTTTTATATTACCTTGTTTTCCACACAAATACTCGTAATTCTGAATTTCTATTTTTTTTTTACGAATTTCTTCCGCGCAGTATTGAATTTTTGCTATTTATGGAGTCTGTTAATGTCATCCTTTACTCCAAAATTTTTCGTTATCAAAGGTTTTGAAAAATCTAGTTTATATTCGTATAAGTCGTATATTAAATAATTACCTACCTACTTTTTAAATCATTTTAATTAACAAGATTGTGTATCTTTTGGGGCTTTGATTAGGAATTATCGACAAAGATATAGATTTGTTTGTTTTTTTTTTTTGGTTTATTTCCTGACAACAAATTTGATGTTTAAAGAAAATAATATTAAATTATTTTTCACAATTTAATAATTTTTGTTATAAGCGATTTTAAAGTTCATTAACGAACATTAGAGTTTCTAGGAAGTTCCATCGAAATAAAGATTTGAGGTGCCATCTGTCCAAGTTTTTTTGTATTAAAATATCTTGTAATGTTGACTATTTTCGAAATCCGCACAGTAATTTATATGTATGAATAATGCTTTTGCTTGTCCTTTTTCCTTAAGTCTCCCGATATGAAAACTATTTTAGAAATAGCTTTTAAATAAAATACTTTCAAACGACCTTAAGAGAAAACTGCAGCAAATACCAGGATAATCAATACAAAAAGAAAACGTAAGTTAATAATCTACAGTTCGGATAGATGGCAGCAGAAGTATTCTAAAATTCTTGCGTAATGGAATACGATTTTTTTTGTTTTTTGTTTTACAAAACAACTTACTTTAATTCGTAAAACTTAAGTCTGAACCAGCCTACTTCTTGTCCACCAATAAAATAATTTAGTAGATATTCTGTCAGAAGTTGAAAAAATATGTTACACAATTTATTCGCATTAGCATTTTAGACCATGGTAGAAGGAGACATGGTATAGGCATACGCATCGGGTGTGACGTCAAGTGGGGTGAAATTAGCGCGAAATTTAAAATACAATTCGTTATCTGACAACTAATTGACGTACTGGACAGAGCAATGACAACTCAAGCTGAAATTCCCTAGACTTCCCTAGCGAAGCTCACAAGAGTCACAAGGTCGTTGATGCCACCTAACGTCACAAATGGATGCGCAGACCATTTTTAAATTCGTACATCGGATGCCTATACCATGTCTCCTTCTACCATGTTTTAGACCACGCAGAGTCACGAAAAAGCGATGGGCTATTATTTATTAAATTATCTTTACTTACGAAATCGTTTATAAAATATTACATTATATTATTTATACAAGTTATTACACTTCATTTATTTCGATAAGCTGAAATTTGATAAAATTAATAAGTTGTCTAAATTATAACTAATATTCGGATATTTTGTGTCGATTAAGTAAGTATTCTAGGAACTTACATGGATACTGAAGAATATAAATTACAAACCTAATCTCTTCGATTACTCCTTCGTGTATAATTAATCACCATGATTTTAATTAGTAATGAGCTCACACACATGGCAGAGTGATCCATATGCGTGCGTGCTTTGAGTTGCAAACATCAAGGACGGCAGTTTACGTTGACGATTATTACTTTGAAAATTTATCTTTAATTTATCGCCACCCTTGAAATAAATTTAGAAACATGGGGAAATCATTGAAAAAGTACCCACTTAAAACACACCTATGGTTTTTATATTTTTATTGAGGAAAAACTGAAGTGATAACGTTTATGCAGTTAACTATTTTAATGTGCTGACGTTCTAAGAATTCACTCGGTTAGATCCGAGTCGTTAAAATAAATATAGGCAGTATTCAGTCAATGCTAAATACATAATGTATTTATTCAATGGCATACATTCAACCAGGATTAATTGTTGTGGCACAAACTATTTCGTAGGAGGAGAAAAGACGTTAGGTGACAGCCAAAACCGCCAAATTCAAATTCAGTGTTTTTACTGAATTTGATATACATATACGAACTTAAATTTGAAATAAAGTGCAAGATACAGTACGAAAAAAGTTATATATTATTTCCAATACTATAATATTGTAAGTAAAATTCAATAGACGAGAAATAATTTTGTCATAAATAAAAACGTGGCTGAATAAAAATAGTTAATTCCTTCACACACGTTTGAATGCCATCGAGTTTTTCATTTGTTTTGAACGGTCAACGGTCATTCGCATTTTGCATTTTACGTTATTCAAATCACCACTAATAATTCCAGTTTTCTCTAGACTTTCTTTGTTAAAACATTAAGCTTTTTTTAAAAATATAACAACTTCTTGTCTAATATTTATTAATATGTACGTACATACCTAGTACTAGATCAAGTTTCACATTTTGTCTCCTATTAAAATTCGTCTTTTGGGACTGAACAAGACTTTTAACTACACTTTGAATATGCTTTAATTTTTCGGTAATTAATAATCAAACAATTGTTTTAAGACTGCCAGATGACGTCAGGTGTGTAATCAAATTGTGGTGGTCAGGATCACATGACGAAAGTCGAATAAAAATGCTAAAGTCAAGCGGCTTCGAGGACTATCTAAGTAATCTCCCCTCGAGCTTCAAAGCTGACATTTATGGCACTTCAACAACATTGGCATTTCAAAAACTATGCTTTTGCTGATTTTTTGTTACTGTGAAATTTTTTGACATTGGAGATTTGAATTTTTAAGAGCAGGGGTCATCGAAAAAAGTGGAAAAGGGGAAGCAATAAATAAATCCGCCTTAATCTACACATGTATTATCAAAACAAATATATAAATCGAAAAATTAAGCTAAAAGTACCTCAATATCGTCCCGAAAGAGTTCGGTCCAACTCGGATAGAATATGGCACCTCTTTACCTACATACAAATTACATTATAACGGCAGTTATTGTCTTGATATTTGATAAAAACCTGCGAAATAACCGATTTCACAAGTTTTATCATACTCTAAAAATAAGTTACACAACAACGTCTTACACGATAGAATTCAATATAAACTATATCTAACAATTTCGACTAACTTATTTTAAAACATCTCTAATAAACATAATTGCTTGGAGCTATCATATTGAAACACTTTTAAGTTAAACTTAACCGATTTGATCGTCATTAAATAAAAATTGGTCCCTAAACTTGAACAAAGAGCAAACGTAATAAATAAAATCCCAACGAACGTCAAACATACATGGGAAATCGCAACCGCCACACCCGCCTCCACCGTCGCTCAAGCCCGAACTGCGGCGGCGACGGCCGCGGCGACTTCGACGACATTAAATATCTGAATCAACAACAACTACTGACACAGTTATGGCCTCTAGACGACATTTACTATTATGACATGATATGTACACTGAAGATATCAACACAGTGTCAGAGAATGGACGAAGGCGCTCCAGATTACGAGGCACCGTCTTCTGTACAGTTATTGTCTGGTGGTCGCGCTGCTGGTGGCTCGCAAACCGGAGCATCCTCGTCAGAAGAGCAGGTTTACGGAGTGTTTGAGTTAGGGGCTTAGGTATTAGTTGTGTACGTCTTTTGACATCTCTACGAGCTCCTGCGGGTCGGCGTTCAGCCTGTCGAGTTCCGCGTGCTTGTCGAGCTCGCCGACGCTGAGGATGTCCACGAGACGGGCGCCTATGCAGTCGCACATAACGTTGATGGTGGTGCGGAACCGATCCCTAGAACGTCAGAAAAAGTTTCTTTTACTCACGCAAGACTTACGAAGAACCACTTACAATAGCCAATCGACCGCCAATATGTTGATAACCTCTTCCGCCGGCAGCCCCACCGTGTCCAGCACCATCACCATAGTGACCAGCCCGGCTTGCGGGATCCCCGCCGCCCCGATGCTAGCCGCCGTCGCCGTCACGCTGCAACAAAGCCGCGAATGAGCACAGCCTCTCGCCTGTCGCCGCCACATACCAAACCGCCACCGTCTGGCCGAACGCCAGCGTCTTGCCCTGCAGCTGCGCTATGAAGATGGCCGCCACCGCCTCGTACAGCGCCGTGCCGTCCATGTTGATGGTGGCGCCCACGGGGATGACGAACCGCGTAACGCGCGGGTCCAAGCCCATGCGGTCTAGCGTCTGGATGGTGATGGGCATGGTGGCCGAGCTGGAGGCCGTACCGAAAGCGGTAGCTAGCACCTGACTGAGCTGGGCGATGACTTTGAAGGGGAGGCGGCGCGTCGCTATGAAGAAGATGACGGAGATGGTGCCGAAGCCGTGCAGGAAAAGCCCCAGCAGAACCGTCATGAAGTAGTATCCGAGGCGCTGCAGTTGACCGAGGAAGCTGTCGGTCTCGACCATTTTGCTGGCGACGAGGAAGAAGACACCCAAGGGAGAGAGCCTGCGGGGAAACGGGGAAGTAATAAGTAAATTAAAAGTGGATTTAAAAAATGTTTTTGCCACCCCTCCAACTTCCCGAAACTCCTCTCGCTTTTCCCCGAACGTGCGGTTTAACTATAGCTTCCCGCACCGAGAGCAAACATCCCCTGTCTACGGCCTGTCGCAGTTGAAAGCTGATATTTGATACGAACAAACAAGCGGCACTCACCATATAACCCAGCTGGTGATGTTCATCATGGCCTCGCTCAGGGACTGGAAGAAGTCGACTAGGATCTTTCCTTTCTCGCCCATCTGGCCTAAGCTGATGCCGAGGACGATGCTGAAGACTACCAGACCCAGCACGTTGGTGGTGTTTTCATAGTTTTCTTTGAAGGGCCATTTGATGAGCTCAGATGACGGTACGTCGTCTAGAGGTTACAAAAAATTACAAAGGTTGTTGGAAGAGTGACGCAAGGGTTACCTTTATCGCCTGAGTAGTTCTTGGGTGGGAAGAGCACGGTTTGTGACTGGAAAAGAGTAACTAAAATGATTATTGTGATTGAGGTATACACAAACTCATTGCGCGGCAGCGGCAAGAGTAGGAATTAGATTATTTTTGGGAGGATCAACAGCACTAAAACAACCAGCTGTTAAGACTGCAAAACTGGACGCAAAAAGTTTCGTATTTAACAGAATGACTTCATTATTATTTCGCATTTCTTTTCTTTTGGAGTTTATTTAGAACACAAGAAAAAAACAAACATGCTGAAAGAGGTTTTCTAAAAACTCAAGCTAGCCTCGCTCTCCTTTTGCCTTAATTCACCGAAAATCGTTTACCTTAGGTATTATCTAAGTTAATTAAAAAACATGATACAGAATAAACAGTATTAGATTTTAAGTTCTTGTAATCGTTTTCTTTTGATATTGTAGTCGAATACGTCGATATGTCTGGTGGCACGTAAAATTTGACAAACTTGCTTTACTCACACACAGTTTAGCTCACTGCGCTTGCAGTTACTCACTATATATGTTATGCAAATATATAAAAAATGATTTTAAATCATCGGTATTGAAGACACAAGTTAGCCAAAATTTTTGACAGATCGAGCCATGGAATACATTCGTAATGATTTTGTCGTTGTAAATTGATTTGCTGCAGTAGTAGAAACAAGCAGCACGTTTTATTCGATTGAATTATATTTAACTCGATAAATACTTCGTGACGTGTGGTCTGACTAAGCAAGAAGTCTCTTACTCTCTATAATTGAATAATTGGTCATCGCGATTTGTGCATATTAAGTAATCACACTATATTGCAGGGATAATTCAAGAAGAACTTAAAGCTTAAACCATTCTCTAAATTGAATTAATATAAACGCAGACCGAATGAAGACTGGTTATATGAATTTTGAAATTTACAATCCAGGTTAGCATTTCCATGAGCAGCTTACTCCCGCGGAAAAAAAACAGTGTCTCTCATCCCCAGATCCACTTGTAGATCCTTCGTCGACATTTTTCATTAAAGCCCAAATCCCTTCCTTCTTATTCATTGGCGCGCAGAGTACAACAAAGCGTCTCTTCTTGTATCGCGCGTTTCCAGGACAACAACCGTTCGATCTTTGGCGTGCAATCCTCGTCTCGAGGATTTTCAGGATTTATTTCTGTCAACTTATTTCTGACCAATCAATACTCAATTAAGACGAGCAAAAGGAGCGAACGATTGCGAAGCGTACGAAATGTAATAAAATAATAACGAGCGTCAAAACTGACTCACCTGTTGGACGCAGGCCTGTACCAGGTTGGGCGGGAAGAGGTTCCTGGAAGAAAAAAGATCATGATGAGCTCAACGAATCGATTCGGTAGCAGAGGAGTTTTTAATAAGACCATTAGAGCAGGGAAATCGAAGCACAAACTTAAACTTGTTTACGTCGAAGTTAATTCCGTGTTTATTTGGCGTTTCACAGTTCGCAGAATACGAAGCGACACGATCTCGTTGCTCGTGCAAATGGTATTCATCGTTATTTGATGTGTTGTTTTTGGTTAGACTAGAATTTTTTTAAATATTACAATCAAATAAATAAGATTTTTGATCGTCCCCTCTTAAAATGAGTGACGTCACCCAAGAAATCTTTACTGCGAGCACAAAAGGTGTGGAAAGTTCCGCTTATATTATAATTGAATTTTTTTAACAAACGCGACGTTTTCGTCAAATTCCATCTGCAAGTTTTTCGAGCTACTGCACCGGACGGATATACCGTGACATGAGATCATTAGCATACATATCAAAATTTCCTGCCGCAACAAGCCATGTCCTGCTGGCTGCATTTTACTACGGATCGGCGCGGAAGAGATAAGAAAAGGTTCGCTGGGTGAGAGTGAGCCGCGAAAAGGGGTGGCGGATCTTGAGATTTGTTAACAGGGAAGAGTTTAGGCGTTCTCGTGTGTAGTTCGTCAAAAGTTTCTAGTTAATATTTGCCTGTTGATCGCGAACATGTCTGGTGGATCGCTGCGTCAAGTGTCACGTGGCTTTGTGCGAGAGTTAATTGAAAAGCGGGTTTAGTATGGAGATGCGTGAATGTAATAAAGCAGACGTAATGTGTAATCAAATATGTGTAAGGACAGAAGAGTGTAAATATTCTGGGGAAAGAAAGATTGATGATGATGGCAGTCATGTTTAGCAATTACGTTTATTACTGTAATCGTTTAATCTCAAATGTGGGGGTATAGGCAACCAACAATAGGACTAATGACATTAGAATGCATACAAATCGTAGATGCAGATTTTTAGTAGCAAACGACAAAGTTGTACGTAAACAATTCATGATAAAAAAAGTTGTACAAGGTTGTTAAACTTTTTCAAATGCGTTTAATATCAATAAACAAAATTGTAGTACACACTACGTAAATAATTTCTGATAACAAGCATTATACGAGGTTATTAAAATTTTTAAAAGGACATTTTGAAACCGACGAGAAGCATTTTAAATTTTAATAAATCCTTGAATAATAAAATTTCACGTTTCACGTTTCTTGGCGTTTTGGAATTTATAGAACACGGAAATACCAATTTAACTTTTTAAGCCCCAAAATTTAAACACTAATATATTTAAAAAATAGTTTTGTAATACCCCGAATTTGAAACTCGAGTTAGACGTAAATAATAACGTAAGTTAAGTTTAAATTGTAACTTTAAAGTTGTTTGATAAATGCTAGAGTTTGTGCCATTTGTCATGTGGCATTTTGGTTTTTAACGAACATTAAAACATCATTTTACTGACATTCTCATTTTTTTATTAAGGTAGTGTTATTGAGAATAAGATATGTTTTATCTCGGTTTAACGAACAAATCACTCCAAAACTACTATTGAATACTGCTAAATACTCCGTATATAAATAATAATAAACTCCAATTTAATTTCAATATCAATTTCTTTCTATAATGTTAATTCATTTTTGTGTCGCTTCTAACTTGTTTAAGCCTCTATTTATTTTTTATGCTTTTTACTCGAAATACAGTACTGTATCTAGGCCCTGACGCATGATATATATATTCACTGTTGTGCCAATTAAAACATTTTCCATGCTGTAATTTCAGCTCGTATTTCTATGTTATTCATTTTTCCATTTGTATCAATTTGAAATTCTTTTCTCCACGGGGTTTTAATTTATTGCAATATCAACATTTTATACACATCATCATTTCACCAATCTTTTTGGCTCGTTTGTAGTCGACGTGTTAAAATAATATGAGTATTTTTTTCAAAATACTAAAATAGCGACATCCCCATTTAACGGATTACTTTAATTATAATTTACTTCTAAAAAAATTGGAACTTATTTTTATAGTGTATGCAAATCAATTTATATCGTTTTCAATTTATGTTATTTTTAATAATAATAATAATAATCATAATAATTTCAATTGATAGTAACTTTATAGAAATAAGAAGCTACCAATAAAGAAGAATCACAAAAAAACCAAATATAAAATGGAAAAAAAACAGACAAGTACATGATCATAAACATGAAAATTTTGGTTTTCAAAATAAATTAAAGTGCGGACGGTTTTGACACCTATTGGAGACATTTAAGAAAAGAACCTCGTCACTTTTCTACACGAGACAGAAAAATTTCCCTTAAGTTGGGCAACAATAAGATGGTTACAGGAACAATAGTGCGAGTTATATATAAGGTCTCTAGCCAAATGACCAGACCTAAACCCTATCGAAAACATTTGGTGGTGATAATCACCAATTTACCACAGTGTACGAATTAAAAAATGCAGTGTTAGACAGCGTGGGGCAATTTAAAAAATATCTATGATTAAATTAATTAAGAGTAAGAATTCCAGATTGCTCGAAACAATAAGAAAAAGTGGTGGAAAACCCACTACTATAAGTACGATAAACATCGGCTATCAATTGTTTCACGTTTTAATCAAATGTTACTATCGTAATGCACTAGAGTTTATTTATTATAGCATAAAAATATATCTGTAGAGAAGAAAGTTTATCTTGTACTTTTAGCCTTTCAACTTTTCAATATAAAACTATCTCATATACATAAACCTCAGCCAACTTTTCTAGCAAATAAATCCCCCAAATTAAGCTGTTACTTAAAATTGCAACAAAATTAAAAATACATCAAACACAATCATAATTCTCGTCGCCGGCTGAAAAACCGCCAATTCATTCATTTAAACGAAACTGACACAACCGAATTACTTGCTCATCCATCTACTTGACCTACATGTGGGGTCACGACACAACTTATTACAGCAACAACTTTGTTTTTATCGGATTAGAGCGACCTCACCTCGGACGCGACATTACTACAAAAAACCGCAAAAGCGCTAATGAACAGGAACGAAAACAACACCTGTTACACCTTACACAACTTATTATTATTCTGCGGAAATTCTTCGACGCGATTTACATTTTTTATATTTGTGGTTGATTGATTTATTAGGATACATGGTGAGCATAAAGTAAATCTTAAAACGACAGGACCAACCTTGACCGTGCCAGCCAATAGGTGCGAACAGCGCCAAAATTTTTAATTTATTCGTAATACAAAGATGACAGAAACGATATACAGGGTCTAAAAATAAGCGCTAATCAGGAGAACGAGGTGTGGACGCCTGCCGGAACGAATAAAATCGAGCAGCGGATAGTAGAAAAGAACCGAAATAGCGTGGAAAAATGTGTCAACGGACACCTAAATAGCGCAAGAATGACAAACAGAGAAAAAGTAAAAATAACCGGGGAACGAAAGAATTATTAAGAACAGTTGGCAACAGTGGCAGCTCCGGGTTCCCACTCAGCAGAGAGATTATTTATTGTAAGTGTTAGTTTCTTTTAGTAGATTGTAGTCCCAAAAAATACATTTCCTGGTTTCACTTTTATAAAATTGTGTACATTTAACAAATTCCAGAATTCTTTAGTATATTTATTATCTGAACTTAGTAAACACTTCTTGCATTTGTCTGTCAACAAGAAACACCCAAACCTCCTTAAATTGGACTTATTATTCAAAACAAGCAGAAAAAGATGTTTTCCACCCTGCCGCCTCCCCCGCGCGCCCCCGCTGATACAGAAACCTGGCAAATCCCCCCTGAATAGGCAAATTTTTAATTTCGCTGTATTGGAACCCTCGGTTTGAATAGAGTCAAATTCTCCCTTTATAAACAGATTAATAACTTGTACATGAATACAGAGCTTCGAAAATTGGGTGCACACAAGTGAAAATTATGAATGAGTTTTCTTTGGACGCCGAGCCGGAGCTGTGATTTATTCGGTACAAAAACGGGCGCGTGTTGATTGGAATCGAGAATTAATTTTCTTTTGATTCGATCAGAATCTGACGTCTTTTTCAGTTCTCCAACACCTGTGATTCAATTTTAAATGGGTCGCTTCGGTGTCCCAATTTTCTTACGAAATTTGCGGATTTGTGACTAGGGGATTATTTTGTCTTTTAAACTGACGTTCTGCTGGATATTGAAAGATTAATTATGCCGTTGCAACCGGATTGAGAAAGTATTAAGTGAATGGTTTATTTGTTTGTTGGGGTGTTGTGTAAGGTAGTTTTGGCGTGGCGGTGGTCATCATTTAGATGGTTGTTGAAGATATTAAATTCATCAAACACTGTGACGATTTTTAACAAATAAAGTTTCTCTAGCTGTTTTTTGGTTGGAAATATGCCATTTTGTTATATTTCTTTAATGCTATTTTTACGTTGATTGTATTTATAGTGGCGCTTAAATGTTCGCGTTTTAAGTTAAATGAATCGTAGACAATTATCCACCTGAAAATACTGACAACATAACGAAAAGTTTGTGTTTTTTCAGGACACTTTAAAATAGTAAATATTATGTGAGTATTTTAATGCTCCCGTTACTTATTTTTTATAACATATCAAGTTTCCAACACCCCCGCACTGCCTACTCGCAATTTTTAAATATCAGACAGAATGATATATATTCAGTTTTTCAGATATTTTACAAAATTTCATTCTTTAAAAAAAAATTGTAACAGCTTCTTTATGTTAATATAAAAAAGAAACCAAGGGTCGCCTTGTTTCTTTGAATCTCTCAAAAAATAACAGTCTGATAAACTACAAGTACAAAAGCAAATAATAAAATATAAGTAGGATTTACTTTGCAAAATTTTGAAATGACGTATTAAAATTTTTACTGGGGCTTCATTCATTATGTTTTGAGTCATTCTGTACAAGCAGTTATATAAAATACGAATGCATTGATAAACCACAAGTATTTCATAATATTTCACACTTTTTAGATAAGATAAACAGATACATTTTGATTAACAATTTGCTATGCTTATGATAACTTTGAAACGTTTGCAACATTTCGCAGCATTCGGTTTTTCAGCTTCTAAACTAAATTGTAAAACGTTCCTATATAATTTTGTGTTTTCCAAAAAGGCGGATTCATAAAGCACAAGTATAGATTTTTTTATAAAAATTAAATAGCATTTAGGTATACAAAATTTTGAGATGACGACCGGAAATTGTTGGTCCTCCCAATTGTAAAAGGTAAAAGGCTCGGAAAGTAAAAAGAAAATTGTTAAGAAGGATCCTAAATTTAGGTCAAGTTTAGTTTCACTCAACTTTAAAATAACATTACAATATTTAAATGAAAAAGAAGTCGAGACGTGTTTGTTGAAATTTTCTTCGTTTTCGTTGTTGTTATTTGCAATAAAGCTCTGACTGCACAATATACCATTACTCCATTGTAAAAATGATTTTATTGCTCATAAAAAAAGTATCGTAGGATTAACTGAGTTAAACACTTCTAAGCTCAAGGAAGTAACGTGCCTATACTTATAATGATGGTTTAGATATTTAAAATACAACTAGTAATAAAACAGAAATATGAATAATTGATACATTAATAACAAAGCAACTTTAGAAAAGAAAATGACTCAAATTCCTTTGGAACAGATAATCTTTACCTAAAAAATTTTATTCGAATTTCGCTAGCAAAAAATAGAAATAACAATAAAAAAGGGGCAGGGGAAACCCAAACTTAAAAACAAAAAACAAAATTTAGATCGTATTAGTAAGAAAGAAATATAAAGGCAAGAAATAACAGAGAAAAACCAAAAGTAAGACGATAAATTTTGTAATGTCTCTAGATACATTTTATTTTTTAGATTCTGCAAAGCATAATTTATTTCCCCATGCAAGAGATAATTATGCAGCAATTTTAAAAATTATTTGGTATAAACACTCTAGTACAAAAAAGAAAATATAAAGGCTGTAGACAAAAATCCTGATGGATTGACGTAAATCTCCTTGGCGTAACATTATAGTGATGTTGTGAAATGTGAAAATTAATGGAATTATAAAAGCTCTCAAAAATAACTTCCTCTAAAGTTGTTTATAATGGCAACTGAAAATTATTCACAATACGCCGACTATACTGATCTGCATAACTGTCATTCCTTGTATTTATTTTTAACAGTTTTGTTTCATCGTTTATTTATTTAATGTTGTATGAAAAAAAACTAGCTCAAACAATCCTTTGACCCAAATTCTGATAAATGTAAGTACTCTCAAAACATGTTTTGTTCAAAAAAATATTCAAAACAGTCATTAATTTCTTGATTCCATTACAATTGCTAAAAATTTCCGACCTTTGGTTTCAGACACAAATAAACATTTTTTCAGATCGTAAAGCCTCAATTTTATGTTAAGAACTAGCTACTACTAATGCCGCGCTTCCACCATCCGTGAGTTTAACAGCAATTTAAACGTCAAATTACTATGACAGGAACCTTGAGCGGAATGCAGTCAACTCCAAACGCGCAATTAATCGAATGCCTGAGAAGGAAATCTGTGAAAAATTAAAATTTCATCAATACGATGGGACACAATTGGAAAATATGTCATAAGGAAATAATTGATGAGTAACAGAAGGGCGTCTGACAAAAACATCAGACTTAAATGATAATCTGATGTCTCCCTCGTGGTGCGTGGTGATGATTAGTTCATGAATATTCTATCCGAGATAATTTTTTCTTCAACAGTTTAATCGAAAATTAATCGGTGCTTTCGGATATTGTTATTAGATTACTGCATAAATATAAAATACCTGGTGACTATTAACGATTGAAGCAAATTTATATGTTGGCAGCTACTGACAACTGACAATAAATTTAAATATGTTGCCAACCTGACAAAAAAAATCAAACTTCTTACCTTATCAAATCTAACAAAGTATCTTGCGTAAGTACATGTCTTGACAACGCCGGTTCGTACTCGCTCTTGTCAACCGCCTCGGCGCCCACTCCCGGTCGTATCGTCACCACCAAGATGATCCCCAGAATGACAGCGCAAACCGTCGTCGTAGCGTAGTACACGATGGACCTGAGGGCGATCTTCTTCGACAAGGTTAAATCTAAGCTGCCGACGGCCGAGGTGATCGAGGCCATCAGCAGAGGAATGATAAGCGACTTGAGCATCCGAAGGAAAATTTCGCCCGGAAACATCAAGTACATGGTTTCCCTCTGGTTCCATTTCTGGGTGGAGAGGGAGCGAAGGGTGCAACCGACGGCCGTTCCAGCGAGCACCCCGATCACCGTGAGGATGGTGATGAGGTTGTTGCGGACGAAGGCTTTCCACTTAGCCATGTTCGAGCTTCACCTGCGAAAAAAGAAAAATTGTAACCGTGGTTGTAGAAGAGGTTTCGAATTAGTTGGAAGAGAACAATTTAGCGCTGTTAGAAATACAAGCAAAAATAAGTTCAATTATAATGTAATGAATGAAATAGGAGAAATGAATGATTCGGCTTCAACTCTAAAAGAAATTCGAAAAAATAAAACGAACAAGACAAATATAGTAACAATATATTTGATAAACTAAAGCAAGATTGAATTGTCAGATGTGACAACAAAGCTGATAAATTGAAACTGAAGTTAAACCACAGAAGTATAAATATAGAGAATCGGAAAAGAAAAAATCCTGCACACAAAAAAGGCAAATGTGAAGACCAATTTCCGAAGTCTGATGGCGTTTTAAGTAATAAAGTGAAAAATGTAATGAAAAATAATAGAAGATCAAAATCAAGAAAATAAGGATATAAGAATATATTTCTTGTTGTAACTAAGATAACGAATAAAGGCCAAGAAGTTATCGTTAAATGAGATAAAGTAATAATTTGAATGAACAGCAAAAAGTGACCTGAAAATGAGAATTCTAGTTCTTGAAAAAACTAGAAGTAGTAAACGTAGTAGTAGATAATCTGGCTACAAAAGAATAGCGTTATAAAACTGATTTAAATGCAAAAGCACTATGTATTTAGGTGTCACTATAAAAAAACAATAGGTTAAAAAGCAGTTCGACCCAGTTCCAACACAACTCCCAACTCTTGTAGCCACTTTATCGTGGCATTAGGTCAGTGCGAACTAGTACTCTTAAATATCAGCTATTACTTGCAGTCCCCGATGATGTCACTATCTCCACAATTAGAATAAATTAACGATGCATACAAGAAATTACGCAACACCATTAATAATCATCAAACATAATTACATAATTTTTTAATCCCTATTTCGTTACATCGCTGCACAAGCAAACTCAATTTTCGCGCTATTTATAAAAATTTCGACTTATCTTCTGATAAACCCCGTAATAAAGCACGCATTATTAGCAGTAATGCTATTTTAATCGAGAATGATAAATGACCTCCGCCTTTAAAACCAAACCAGGAAACTCTCCCCTATTAAAAGTATCACACAAAAAGCCCCAATCATCTCCAGTCTTGCCAACGTAATGGAACGCACATCCCTAATCACATTACGCTTTCAACTTTCATCCCGCTCAATTAACCAAATTATGTTCTCCGCGTCATCGATTCCGATTTTTTGCCAAAGATGAATTAAGGGGGGAGTGCATCGGTGTCGCTCCACAATTTACGCCGACTTTATTCTATAGAGTATAAATTTCGTACCGTTAAATCTTCCGGAAACTGTAGATTATATTAAGTTATATAGACGTTTTGAAAATTCCTTGATTGTAATTTAGTGTACTTGTCCTAGACCATAAAACACGAAACTACCATAAAATCGCGTTAATTAACACTAAAATTGTTCATTCAGCTCATAGATAACTTCATTCATAGTGGCAACAATTCAATTCCCCACACCCGGCATGTTTAGAACATACCATTAGCCGGCGAACGAGTCATTGCAAAGACGAAGAAAAAATAAATGATCTTCGCATTACGAAACTCGCTTCGCTCCAGGCGATGGTTATATTACATAACGCGCTTCCATTCTCGGCATCGTTTTGACACCCAACACTCAGTAGATTTTCGTTTAGCCTTATTCACTAAAACCTCTAAAATGACGGCGAAATTTTAAACGATTTTATAATAACATCACGCTCGGGCCCCGTATTAATTAACGGATTTGCCAGGCCCTGTTCCCTCTTAATTATTTCTTTAAAATAAGTTCCATTTTTATTAATTAAAAGTTCGATTACGTTGTCGTTATATTTTTATTGAGATTGCTTTGTGTTGAGGGGTTGTGTGGGTGGGACATGCGTCAACAGATAAATTAGTGAATGGGTAATTAATAATTATGGTCAAAACATGGGTTCAAAATTGTTCGAAAATTATTTAGTGTTTGTTGTGGTTTTGATTACACAGTTATACTTATATTTAGACAAGTAGGAGGTACTTGACGGCATTGAGCATGGTCTTACCTTGAAAACTGACTCTTTGTTGTTACACACGTTAAGTAATAAATGAAAACGTATGGCTTATCTTTGAGCTTTCTGTAGCGCTAAATTTGTACAAGATCTCTAAAAATTATTTTAATACCAGTGTCACATTCATGCCACTGTATCTCAGCTATTTGTTAAAATAAAATTTTGACAATTTTAAAATAAATGACAAACTTTTGTTTTGAAGTTTCTTTCGTTAACTCCTGTTCCTCCAGATAATTACAAAAATGTCATATTTAATGACCTTTTGGTGTCTACTTCCGGTCGGAAAATTCAAAAAATCCCAAAGACAATGTTGATTTCACTTTCCACGTGTACTTTCTGCTTACACCGGAACGCCCCCCCGTGACCAGAATTCCGTAACATAATTTAACCTAACTCATGCAAATTTATTCCCAAATTAATGTTTAAATTATCATAATTTATAGTCGCCCGGTCATTGTCGATCGGCGTGCTAGCAATTTCAAGTCGACCCCTTCTGCTGAATTTTAATAAAATACCTCTTGTATCTGAAGCGAGTATCTGGCGTTTTATTAGTTTCCTTTTTAATTTTCCCAGATTCGTTTCATATACGCGATTGTTTCGTCGCGAGTCGACAAGAGGGCTCAAAAAATAAAAGTTAATCGGATGAAACCGCCTCGAGCCCGCTTCTTTAATAATTGTTGTCACTGTACAAAGGAAGTTTTGTGCCAAAACATTTAATCTGTTCTGGTATAGAGTGAAGTCGGGAAGTTTGCCAGAAGAGAGGGATTATTAACACTCGAACGAATTGTTCGTGGCGGAGGTACCGAGATTGTGAACGAAAATTTTCGGCTTGGGTTTCCACTTTCCGGTATTTTAAAAAATTGCAAATTTAAATATCTCTCTGACGTTGTAAAATTGCAAACATCATTAAATTCAGAGGTCTTTACAAGTCTAAATAATAGAATTAAATGTGTATTGTTTTTGAAAGAATTAAAAAAATCGGGGACTCTTCCTGTTTTGGTTATGAAAGAACTTAAAAGAATCTCGAGGGCGTCCAGTGTTACGTTTTTGAAAGGATTTGATAAAAATCTCGGAACCTCTGTTTTATTTTTGAAAGAGCTTGAAATTATCTTAAGGGCCATTTTTAATATGTGGAAGAATCTTAGGGGTTCGTTATATTTTGTTTTTGAAAGAATTTGAAACAAATTTGGGTAATCTTGGTATGTTGTTTTTGAGAAACTTTCAAAGAATGTTGGGGGTCTTAGTCTCTTTTTTATAGTAACTTACAGGAGGTGTCATAACAAAAAATATAAAAGATATTTAATTGTGGCAATGCGTTGTAAATCAAGTTGCAGAAATTTAGACAAAGTTATAAGACTTATAAGTATATGAATTAAAGATAAATTTATGAATACATTTACCTTGGAACAAAACCAGAAACTTCCAGTAGTATAAAAATAAATAGCGATTAGTTTGTTGAACTTGTATTAGCCAGTTTTAGGAAAAAAATTGTAAACATATTTGAAAAGAAAAAAAATATAATAACATGTTTCAAATAACCGTCTTTGATAGATGTAAATGTAAAATTAGAAAAGAGATAAAAAACAAAAAATTGCAACTTTGTCTATTTGTACTTAAAAGATAAAAGTCCATAGATTCTGGCGATGCCAACTATGTTAAAAAATTTGGCAGCTTGAATTCTACTAAATGTATATTTATAACTTAATAGCTCACATTTCGGGAACTTTTTTCTCAAATATTTGATAGTCTTAAATATTGTTTTAAAAGAAAAATATTCCTTGAACTTTTATTAAACATTTGCACGTATTTCGAACGAATATTAACTTCTCCAGCTGATGCTAAAAAATCTGTTCAAGGACTATTGGCTAATTTGAATTAAAATTTTTGTTGACAGTACTAATTATTATTATTAAAAACTCCTGAAAATTGGTAAATTTTTGTTAATAAAATACATTTTTTAAAAATTAAGCTATGAACAATTATGAAAACATTGAGTAAACTCACCTCATTTGACTTACACCTGTTAAAACTTTTATGACTTAAGCGGCTTATGCCAAACCACCCTTATAACTCAAACTGGCTATTGTATTACTTAACTCAGTTCACAGCTACATTATCCCAACAATGGACATTAATAATCTTGCGGTTCGGGTCCATAAAGCTTACAATAGCCAGTTTGACCTATAAGGGTGCTTTGGCTTAAGCCGCTTAAGTCATTAACAGGTGTATGTCAAATGAGGTTTGTGTACTATTAATGAGATCGAAATAACAAAAAAGAAATTTGTGGATTTATCAAAAATATCGACATCTTGGTACAAGAGAAATCTAAATTAATCAAAAAATCAGTTAGTTCAAATTTGTCTTTTTAAAAACAACAATTTGCAAATACGTCACGAATTTTTGATCGAGAATACATTAATTGCAGCAATTTAACGCTATTTTTTAAAATGACAATTTAACACTAAAACGTGGGAAAAGGAAAAAAGTAAATTTCACGGCTCTGTATACCGTTCACCGAGTTCTTATCAGTAGGAAACAGAATGCGCTACGTAAGTCAAAGATATAATCGCCACGCTTGAACAACTAAAAATTTTTGACGGACGTCTTTAATAGCACATTGTAAGATGAGATTATGGGTTTCGAATCGTCTCATTTTAATTCGAATCCGACACACTGCTTGCATTATTATTATTATTTTAAGTGCGTTGTGAACGATAAACATTTAATTTTGTTTGATAAACAGAATATACATCACAACACGTACCAAACATGCATTTGAAATAGAAAAAATTGATGGAATTTGAGAGATTTTCTGATGCCATAAGGTCGAAATGCAACAAATGAATGTCGCAACCATAGAACGCACATGTTGGACATTCTTTGGCAAGATTTTGTTTCGCCGCAAATGCTAAGGTTAGAAAGAGAAAGTCTTAAGAAAATCATAGTTCTTTTTTTAAGTGCTCTGGATACATGTCATCACAGTTTACTATATGACAATGGTAGCGACTATATGTTTTAGTTAAGTGTTTCGTCGTATTGAAAAAGGAATGATATTACAAATATGGAAACTTTGAAAAAACTTGAAATCATTCGAGGAACTTGTGTTGATTAATATCACACTGTATTATTAAGAAATATAAAATCGATTAAGTCGCCCAAAACTAAACAAAAAAACATATAGAGTTACCGAATATGTTACTACAAAAAAATTTACGATTAGCTCGTTGCATAAATCAAACAAAGTTCGCTAAAAACAACACCATTAAATTCGTGCGCACATGTTCGTTTTCGTATCGTAACTTCCTACATGTTACAATTAAAAGGAAAACAAAGCGCACCGACCAGTCTAATTTCGCCGCGATAAAATCGCGTTTGGGCCGTTTTCGGTGCATATTTGGCCTAATCGCACATTCGCACCATTTCGGTCCGCAATCATGACCACTCGAAAAAGCCAGCAACCAGCCTCTCTCGCGCCCAATCCCGGCCGCCTCCGCCCGCCGGCCGCCACCTGTAGCTCGCGCCGCCGCCTCCGTCCGAATTCCCCGCCGTCTATATTTAAATGGTGAAAATAGAAAGAGCACAGGCCAGGTGAGCTAGCATCCCTGCACGCATCCAACGCCACAGGCAATGATCGCACGGCCAAAGGAAGTGTTTAATAAAAGTAAATTATCAATGAGAATAACCGTCCCGAAGCGATCCGACCGGGAAACGTGCATCGGTGATTTTTTGAGGTGGAGACGGCGGCGGCATCGATCGCCGATCGATTTATGGGGGGCGGCGCTGGTACTTACCGTTCAACAGGTAGCCAGATGGGAGCTGGGCATCCGCGAAACGGGCACAGAGAACAGCGGCGCACGACTGACGAGCCCGCCGCGAAAACTGCCGCGAACTGTTGTTCCACGGTTTCTGATTCTGTGCCGTGATGTTCAATTGCCGGCACACCGGATCTCGCGAATCTGGGGGGATGGATGAGGGCAACGCCAATTGTAATTGATGCCGACGCCGCCACTGGGAAGGCGCTGGACGGGATAGGATGGGAGCTGGGCGGGGTGGGAAAGATGGGGCACGTGTATAGGGCTGCGGTTTGCGATTTCCCGGTTAAGGCGATGGGGCCGTTTCGAATGACGGCAAATTTTTAAAGCCTTTCGCAGCAGGTTGAATACGAAAATGCAAAATCTTTTTTTTTGTATTTTATGTACGCAGTCTTCTGGATTGACGCATTTCCTTTAATTCGCACATCTTTAAAGTTTTCCACTGTTGCTTCCAGATATTTTCGTGCCCGAGATGCACACGTGATCTTTTTTTTACAACTATGAAGTCAGAATGTTAATATCATCTGTTGACGGTCCCTCACACTTGTTTCATTTGTAGCGAATAACATTAATGTATTTACCGTTTCTTTTCATTTCAGGGGTATTACTTCAGCACTTTTATCCATCAAACCTCCAAGAAAGAATATGTTAAATTTTTTCGTATATTGTTACTGCACTCTTTTCCAATTTTTTAATCAAAACTAGTGTTCCTACCTGAACATTTTCCTTATACTAAGAATGACAGCTTTCATTTTTAAATTGTTTAGAGATGAAATAATTTGAGAATAGCGTTGTGGCGGTAAATCATTACAATGCTGCGCGCTATAGCACGTTTTTACTCCTATGAACTTTCTAGTCGATAAGACAATTGAAAAATTAAAAGACTTGCCTAAAATTATTTAAACAGAATCTCCCTCGTCCCTACTACACAAAAATAAAACTAGTTCAGTTTCTTAGATAAACTATGAAATTTGATTCCACGAATTTAATTTGTTTATTATGACACCCCCTAAAAAGAAACTCCGAACCCTAAGTGTTTTTGAAACCCAAAACAAAGAATTGCTGAAGATTTTCAAGGTTCTTTCATATATTTAAAAAAATTGGTCGAAGGTTATTTCGACATAACTTCCCTCGCCCCTAAAGTACAATACAATAAATCCAGATTTTTCGAAAAATTCTAGGATTTGATTTTGCGAATTTGATTTTTTAATGATAATAGTAATAAGTTAAAATAAAAATATTTATGTAATGTTAAAGTAGGCATGCTACACGTTTGCTCCAAGTGAGTTTTTTCAGTAGAAAATTTTGTGATGACATTATCAACATTTTTGCAAGACCACGTATATCAATTTGGATAGATCCAATGTAATACTAATAATAACAGTACTGTATTCCCAAATTTTCGGGAAAATGGAGTTATTTAATCAATGCAATAAAATGCCTCATTCATTAATTTTTTTGAGTTACCCTATTAAAGTAATTTTAAAAACTGTAAGTGCCAGGATTTTTTCGGCAATTTTGAGATGACGTCATCAATTTTTTGGCAGGGAATAAATGAATAATTTTGATTAACGATTTACCATGATTACCATAACCTTAAAACATTTGCAAAATTTCCGAACATTCGGTTTTGTAGTTTCAAAGTTAAATTGCAAAATGTTATACAATTTTGATTTTTTTCCAAAAATCTGTATGTCCAGAGTGAAAACTCATAACGATTTCATATACAAGTGCAGGAGTATCTTATTTTATAAAAATAAAAACAAACTTACTAGTGTAAATTTTAGAGATGGCATCATCAAATTGTTGGTGGGTATGGCTACTCAAATTTTGGTCAGACTTTTACGTTTATAATAGTCCTGTTAATGTACATACAAAATTTGACAACAATCAGTTCAGTAGTTTCGGAGATTTTCTGTCTAATAAAAATCGACACACACAGACAGACGGATAGACGCACGGACAGACAGAGAGACAGACGATAGACAGACGAAAACGGGAGATCCCTTTTTTCGTACTCTAGAGGTCATGATAGATAGATCAAGAAAACATGAAACTGGCAAGTCGCCTGATGAACACAGGCTGTAAAATAGATTAAGATGCAGTAATAAAATACAGGATGTTCTATAAAAAAACTGAAATATCGTATTTGAAAATTGAAAATTAAAAAATCTGAATTCTGTTTTATGCCTTAAAAACAAAACACTCTGTATAGTTAAAAATAATTTTAGAGTATAGAAGAATCATACAATTTTCGTCTTTGATTTTTTTTTCAATCTCTAATAATAATAATAATTAATAAGACCGTGGGGACCGCTTAGTGACTCATCCTGTATATATAAATCCAACCACAGTTCTAAAATTATGAAGACAATCATAAATCACGTGATGGACTCATCATATTTCGCACATTTCAGAGGGGATTTATTCGGCAAAATTTTAAGATGACGTCATCAATTTACAGTTTCTGATTTAATCAATAAAATCAATTGACTCATTCATTAATTTTTTTTTATCATTCTAAAAAATATGAATGCAGTGATAAATTACGTATCCTAGGGGTCATTAAATGTTAAAAACACAAAAGTAATCAACCCGATGGACTCGATTACAATACTTCCTTAGCTTACGTTCAGGAAGTAAAAAGAGGAACCGCAGGTCCCTAACATTCTTCCATACTCTTTCAAAACAAAACAACAGGGGTCCCAGATTAAAAAAAAATTGTCGAAAATAAAGCACAAAGAGCTCCCAAAATTCTTTCACATTCTTAAAAAAAGGCTTCAGGATCCTCCAAGATTCCCTCATACTCCTTCAAAAACGAAAACACCAGGTGTTCCCAATTTTTGTTTTAATTTTTCAAAAATAGGACACAAGAGCTACCAAGGATTCTTCCACACTTTAGGGCATAACACAAGGGGTTTCAAATATTCGTTGAAATTCTTTTAAAAACAAATCACGAGAGGTCCGCGATTGTTTTTTCAAATTCTTTCAAACATAAAATACAAGGGGGCCCAAAGATTCTTCCACAATTCTTAAAAAAAGAGATACTACGTGCCTTCAAGATTCTTTCAAACCCTTTCAAAAACCAAAACACCAGGTGTCCTCAATTTTTGTTTTAATCTTTCAAAGACAGAACACATTCACTTTAAAAAAAAACACACACCAGCTCCCCCCTAGATTCTTTCAGACTTAGCAAGAAGCATATTATTTTATGAAATTCAATTACAATTTTTTTTGCAAAATTTTGAGATGACGTTATCAAATTGTTAGAGGGGAAACATCGAAAAAATGATATCATTCTGTAAATATAGTTATCACGTCCAAAGGGGTTATAACTCTAAAAAGGACTGATTTTTACGTAACAGAAAATCCCTGCCAATCAATTGATTTTCGTACCACCATGAGTATGCTATTTATCTCTACATTCAAAAAAATTTTCGGAAACTTGTCATGGGCTGTAAAGCTTCACTGACACAGTTTGAACATATCTGTTCGATGGAATTTATAAGAGTAGTGAATAATTTCCAAAACCACCGAGACACATAGCAACATTTGAATAAGTGTGTAATTTGTGTCTTTTCGTGGCTAACCTTGTGGAACACGTACTTGTCACTGAAACGGAACGTTGTATATGCCAATGGATGGTAATTAGCCTATGCATTCCGCAATATGTGGGTTTATTCAATATTGAGCAGACATCAAAGAGTTAGAGAACAAAGGAGATTTACGATTAATTATTATTAGCGAATAAGCGGATTCAGTTGCATTACTTTAACATGTGTAGCAATTTATCTACTCCTCACTGCTGTTAGTTTTAGCTATTTTTTACACAACACGTTTTTACAATATTTCTGTGAACGTCTAGCCATTTGAACGAATAACAGTCTCAGAGAATCCGTACAAACGCAAAGAACTGGAGTGAACACTGTAAAAATATTTCTTGTTTTTGTTGGATTTAAAATGGGTGTATTTTAATTTTTTCCTTTGTCGCGAGCACTCTAAAATTGTCCACGTGAATTGGATGTTCAAACAGTGGCCACTTGATCCATACTGCTTTTACTTCCCGATCGTAAGCTAAGGAAGTATTGTAACAGCATCCATCGGTCCCTGTCTGTCTGTCTGTCTGTTGTCTATCGTCTGTGTCGTTTATGGCACCTCAGAAACTGAAGACCCCATATTCTTACATACAGTTTTTTTGACAAAAAATCAAACTTGTGTAGCATGAAGCAGAAAATCTACTAAATTGATGACGTCTCGCTAAATTTTGATACATGCCATCTAAAATGTGCAAAACATTATGAGTTTATACTTGTGGTTTATCAATGCATTCATATTTTTTTCCACTTTCAAAAAAGAAAGGGGATTTGTTGGAAACTTTTTTTTCGTAAACATAGTCAAGAAAATTGAAATATAGTGATCTACAAATTGCGAATCAGTGCTGTAATCACTGAACCCTGCTTAAAGCGTACTAAAATAATACATTATGTTATTAACAGCGATAAGATACGTCTAGGTTCGAACACGTAAATTAAAGCACGAACCGTATGGCGTTTCGTAAATCAGGATTTCTTTAAACAGATGTAAAAATTCTTTGTAAAATTTTTTGTCTGGTAGGTGCAATCTTAGTACTCTCAATAAAGCTAGATAAAGTCACAGACAAAACTTAACGACAAAGTGGATTTGCACTAATAGCCTACACTTAATTTGTCAAAATTTTAAAGCTTTAGCCCCTGCATGTAAATGTCAAAACAGAGTGACACAAGTGACAGATATAATGACATTCACGTGACGTGCAAGTAACACTATGATATTGTGGCTAAAACCACAATGTCGATATATGCATATATATATATAGGTCATAATACACGAATCTCAATAAATCCAGTCGACTAAAAAATCTCTAAATTGCAGTATTAGAAAAAAACTATTCAAAACTGCCCTCGTTCCTGAAGTACATAACGTCCAATAAATCCTGCTTGTTCGAAAAGTTATAAAATCTGATTTTGGAAAATTTTATTTTAATAGTAAACCCTATAAATTAAAAAATATACAGATAATACCAGTCACACTGTAAGAAAAAAAAGCCGCTGGGTGTTGATGACCGTCTGCTTACTATACTATATAAAGTTGTTATTAAATTTGGACTATTTTGGCGAAAATTTGAATGATTAGGGGGAAAACTCAAAGCGGATTCATAAACCACGAATACAGGAGTATTTTGTTTTATAAAAGTTAAGTAGCATTTACCATGCAAAATTTTGATGTGACGTCATAAAACGATGAATTGATGGGGATGATTAATCAAATTTTGGGTAGCATTGAGAAAACATGAAATTACTATTCGCCGGATTGTTTTACAATACTTCCTTAACTCACCACGTAATAGAAACCCACTGAATAAACATCCTGTTTCCACAGAAAATAAGTTCTAAAACTAATAACAAATCTTAAAATTAATTATTAAAGATAAAACACAAACACAAATCAATTAATATCAGCCTATAATGAAAAACCGGTAGAGCATTTGAGAAGAAGGGTTCTTTCAGCGATGATGATACAATTAAAATAGAATCTTGATCAATTAGTAAGAAACTGTTGAACAAGTTAAGAGGTATCGGATTCAGTAACTGCCCTTGCTTTTGTTTAAAAACCTAATGGAGTTTACTTATTTGTTTACCAATAGCAATATTAACACTGCCATAAAGAGAAATCATTTTTGTATTCAATTAGTAGATTTGTTGATGTTAAATGTTTTAGCACTTTAGTTGTTGTTAACAGATTTAAAAAATTAAATTAGACGGAAAATTTTATTCTACCTATTCACAATCAAAACACCGTTTTAGAAGTTTAAATTACGAAAAATGTCTGGAAGTGACATTTTCTACAAAAATAAAAAAAAAATTGTAAACTTGGGTTCCATTAAAGTGTTAATAACTGGCAAAATAGTTCACGTAAAATGTACTTTAGCAAAACGTAAATTTAATAAAAAATCAGTTTATTATATGGGTCATATTTAAGGGAAAAAATAGCCCTGAATAAAGCAAGAGTCGACCTACTGAAGAAAGAGTTAATACATGTTATTAGATTTATTTAAAATTTTTAATTCATTCATTCGCAATACATAACAACTGTGAAAAATTACCAGAAGCTGTTTTTATATAATAAAGAAAAAAAGATTCAACTTTAGTTCTAATTTTGGAGTTTTTTTTTTAATAAAGAAAGGTATGGTAGTGTCATTGTACAGCTCTATCTTATCTGACGGTTTCGTAAGTAAAAAATGGAATTTCCAGCAGACGTTACGTTATCTATATCTACATATATCCTCAGATGAGAGTAAAGATATCAGTTTAATTTTATTGCAGAACAAAATGTTCTCAACTAAAGTTAAGTGTATTCCGATGTCCACTTCATACCGTTCGCAACAATACAACGCGATTGTTGTCACTAACACTTAGATTTCCGCTTTAAAATTAGATTTTCCGCTTTAAAGTGTAAATTAACCAACAACAGGAAATTTTTGTTGCGAACTACATGTCTAAAATAATCAGTATTTTCAAAATTTCGTGATAAATACCGTCAAAGAAGTACAAAGTCATATTTCGTTAAACAAATAAATCAAACAATAGATATTTTATGTGTCAACGAAACGTTAATAAAACATTGTCAGTTTGTAATTTATAACATCTTTAAAAAACAAAAACCCACCTTGCTATTCTGTCAATCAAAAACTACAATTTTTCTACACACGTACACAACGATTTGCTTTTATCTTCGCTTAGATCACTTAAATCAAGCAAAACATCGTCAGTTGTCTTTCCTCCACCCTGCAAATTTACTTAAAATATTTACTCAAGATAAACCAGACAGACAGGACAAATTTGTTTGATAAAAACAGATCAAAATCAATTAAGGAAAAAATTTGAAAAATGCACGTCACTGTTGGTTGCGTCAAAAATGACATCACCCTTAATTACTGCTCTGATAATTTGAATAATCAACGGATGTCCGCGTATCCATTCCGAAAATTAACCCGATTAATTGTAAAAATATGTGGAAAACTGTCCCACGCTAAAAAAAAAATAAAATGTAGCAAGTGCGTAAAATATTTTTAAATTCGTCTCTGGTTCGTACTAGATCAAACTGTTTGAACTATTTAACTTGACTAATAATTGTGAATTCGAGTGTTTTAGTACGTTAATAGCTGGGAATGTAAATATGCACAGAACTGGGAGACATTATGCAACTCGTTGGAAAGAATAGAATAATAAATTATTTCATTTTCGCGGTATTGCAAATAGCGTCAAGATAACACTGTGTACGTATTTACTTTTCTATTATTATAGAAAATTATGAGATTTTGGTGTGAAGCACACGTGAATTTAAATAATATAAAATCAGTGTCGACACTTCGATAATTAAAAATAAATAATATTTATCGTTTCCGTGAACTACGAAGAAAATAATTTAAGTGAATTGTTTTCGAAAGATTGCAAGTTCCAAGTAGATAGATCTGGCACACGTTTATGAATAAAACATTTCTTTTGATCTTGACTTGTTTTTATGAGACATTAAATTCACATGATTAAACAAACACAAACACGCTGATTACGTCAGCTGACCCGCTTGTCTGGATATTATCAAATAAATTATTAATTACTCCTGTAAACTTTGATAAGAGAGATGAATTCGGAAAATAACAAAACAAACTTTTTGATCTCTAACATCGTCATTATCGCGAAATGTTAAAACTGACCCACATATGAACAGCACAAATTCAAATTTATAATTGTATTACCGTAAGTTTTTAATGCTCGAAAATTACTCATTCTGAAAAAATACGTATTTTACGAGTTATTTATAACCTATTTGTAGTTATTAAAATTTAACGATAAATTATCTAAAAATATAACACAAAGTATGAATATTTCTAGCTCAAAAATAAAATTATTCATAAAAATAAACTGTAATATTTGGAAAATGTATACCAATAGAAAATAAAAATTCATTTAGGTACAAATTGACCAAAACAATAAATAGCTTTATAGAAAAATAATTACACGGGAATTTCGATAATTAAAAAAAAAACTTTTCTGAACTAAAATTCTCTATTTATTAGTCCCCTGTGCACACTTTTTAAGCATTGTTGGTTGCCTAAGCGAATAGTTTTCTTTATAGTTATTTAATAGTTGTTGCAACAGTGGTAATAAGTTTATTACAATAATCATGTCTTCACGATTTTCATGGAAAGATTGACGTATAAATTGTGGTTTATCATTATCCTAAATTAGTATTGAAACTAATACAGCTCAAATACAGTGTAGCTATTACGTTGTTTTTTTTTTTTACTTTTATTTCATTCATTACTAATGGTGGTGTAATTTAAATACTCTGAAAATTAGAAAATTAAAAAAAATGTATATTAAGTTGCATAAGTTCAAACAAGTTGGCAAATTGTCAGTGACTGTATTCGATGAATGAATTTTTCTAATGAGAATGAGTAATGTAATGACCGGTGTTTTGTATTTACTGCTTTTATAAATATGTTTGATTTGAACCATATTTTACCTCCGTCTTTCTAAATGCGTCCGCACAATTCATCTCCCTGAATCCAAATTTGATTTTTAAATAAAAGTTTGTTGACATAAAATGACCAAAGAACTAAGGTAAAGGCCGTAAGCACACAACCAATGGAAAATCGTCCTTCCAATCACAGCTATTTTTCATTGGTGTTTCCACCTTTACGTTTTTAAACGTATCCTAAACCCCACTACTTCACTTTGACATTTGACATAACCTCACATTTCCCCATCGTATTTTCTCACGAAAATGCCCTTAAAGGGAGCCCCTCCCGTTTGCCTGAAATGCGAAACCAGCGAGTCACCTCTGTGGACTAACGCCGAGAACCTCGGTGCGATCTGCCTCGACTGTGTGAACGAAGCTAAAGATAACCTCAAATCCGAACAAGACGATGAAAACGACGACAAGTCGGAGGATTCGAGATCAATTAAGCGCAAACAGCGTACTACCAGGTCGTATAAAACACGCTTGAACCCTTTCGCTCTACCAAAAACCGGCATCCCCAAAGGCAGAGGCAGGAGGGGGCTGTTCAAGAAGACTCCAATTAAAGCACCAAGTGCAGTTGCAACAACAATCACGTCAGAATCGATCTTCTATAAAGTAATTTTCACGCTACACAGTTTGTTAAAGAGAGTAAGAGATGGTTTTAGGGTAGCTACATCCAAGTTGGAGACATTGTTTCAATGCAGGATGAAGATGGGGGTATTTATTATGCGCAGATTAAGGGGCTGATGACTGATCAGTATTGCGAGAAGAGTGCGGTTGTGACGTGGTTGTTGCCCACGCAGGAGAGTCCGCCGCCAGAGGAGGCGTTTGATCCCGCAACTTATATTATTGGTGGGCGGATAATTTTTGTTATTGATAGTGTTAATGGGTTGATTGTAGGTCCAGAAGAGGATATACCAAGGAAATTAGAGTGTATGGAGTTTGTGATGCACGCACCTTCAGATTATTATAAGTCGAGGACGACACCATACCCCATGGTGCATGCACCAGCTCAACCTGGATATATTTGGACTTCATTAGAGACTATTCAAAAGTTACGAGGAAAGTGAAGTGCGTTTTTGTTTTTTCTTGTATATTAAGGTTTTGAGAAATGATTTGCTTTATACTGGAAAATATAATTTTCTATTTCTAAATGCGTGTTTACTTGATGTAGTTTGTTGTGTTTTGTTGGTTGCCTATATCACGTTACAGTACAGATGTACAGTTTGTGTACACAAAAAAAAAAACACAATTGGCTTTTATGTGTTTGTAAACGAAGAGGTAGTTTGAAGTAGGTTCTGTATAAAAATTGGTGACATAAATAGGTACTGACTGACTGTTTTAATTTTCAGTTTATTTTTATTCGCTTTACAAAAAAATACTACAACTTGCTATTTTTAACAAAACATGACGCCAGCGATTACGTTACAATTAATTTAACTTTTATCTTTTCTTAGTAAATCTGAATTAGAGTTGTTAATTCTAGAGGATGTGGTTCGTTTGTTTTATTTATGTTTTTCTTGCTTTATTATCGTTGTTGATAGTTTATTACAAAATAACGAAAGCATTTAGTAATAGGTATCAAGAATAACTCGAATTTGTTTCTTGAAAAATTTAGCACTTAAATAATATCAGTTTTCGGTTTTTAAACCATAAATCTTTCACATGTTGTAATTACGGTAAAATCAACAATGTTATGTAAGTATACTCAAATTTTCCTGTTTATGTCATTATTGCCTTTTTATTGTGATGATTTTTTTCCCCGATCCATGGTTACGAAAATCATCACTACGTCTTTATTTTAACCAATGCTTATTTTAATTTTCTGTGATTCACAGCTCGTAAAACACTTGAAAAAAAGGAGTTGTTTAATTTTAACGAAATTCTGAGAACACAGTGACGCTGTGATCGGTACGTATTGCATTTATGAAACACCGCCCAATTCGGTGCGAAGAAGGTTCGGTACAAACAAGCTTATAAATGTTTAAAGACAAAACCAGCCAAATATCGCTAGTGAGTAAATTTTCGTCATAAATATTAACAAAATTAATGTTCTAACCCAGAGATAGATTATTAGAGCATAGAGATTCAAAGTCGCAAAAAAAACTTAAGCGATAATGTGGACTTTATAGCTACTGCAATTAATAAGTAACGAAACAGAATGACCCAAGTGACAGTTACATCATTGTCATCATTATTGTAAAATTAGCACATTACATAAAAATTTCATAGCAAAAGATTACTGAATATTGTGTATTCATTCTTTATTCATTCATTATTATTAACCCGAGGGTATCTGAAAATGAGTATTTCATATATTCTGTCAATATAATGATGTCACAGTTGGAGTAAAGTACTATATAGTAGGACTCTAGTAGGGTGTAGGGTCAACAAGAGCACACAGTTTTAATAAAAATTATGCAGCGGCAACGGCACCAGAGCGCCATAAGAGTGTGACGGTCGAACTATGTAAATTTCATTCTAGAGCACAGCAAAAATACCCATAGGGGGCGTTGTAGCGCGAGCGGAGTTTGGGGTTCCCGGTCGTGGCTGTTCTCCTACCCACGACGGTGATTCTGTCTATCGCAAGCACTGCCGCACAGCAATTATCTACTACGGACATGCCGTACGAGCAGGCCGTTACGGTCGCAAACTCGCAGTTGGGTCTCGACTATTGGGCCAAGTTGACAGCGTTACGTCATCTCGACCGTCCCAGACTTCTGTACAAAACTGCATCTTTTGTGCAGATGGCGCGATAAATCCCGCCAGCTCGACTAGAAACCGCGCACTCCGCTTCCACCACGTGTTTCTGTGTTATTTAACCTCAACTCCATTTATATGTTCAATTCTTAGGACTCTGATATTAAACTACATCTGAACAAGTGTCAAAGTTTCAAAAAGAGCAATAAACAACATTTAAATTCGCCATACAATCTTGTGAAATTTTAAACAACAAATAATTCTTATTTAAGATTAAGATTGGACATCAGATAACTTACATGATGGAAACATTCATTAACAAAATATTTACATGAAAGAAAACTAGCAAAGATTTATAAAAACAAAAAAAAAAAGATCTGATGTGAAATAAAACTTGTGCAGATAAAAAGTTACCTGAGTTTAGGGACTGCAGAGCATGAAAGTTTACCTTCAATTTAAATTATACAAGAAAGAAAATGATTCAAGTTAAAATTGTGAGAGAGAGAAAAATTGTATGCAAAGCTAACAAAATTACATGAGTTTAATATTTGCCACACTTTATCAACGATTCAAACAAAGAGTTTACATTATATTCAATTATGCCACACTTTATGAACGATTCAAACAAAGAATTTATATGATGTTACATTATCCCATGATCCAAGTGATTGGTTACTTAAAACAATGTTAAAATGAATGTTTTGAGGGTTTATATCGTGCACTTTATCCCAAACAAATGACATGATAAATAAGCACAAAATGCATCAGGCGTGCCGAGGGAAGTTCCTCGGTGATGTAATTATTCAGCGTTGTGAGAAATAAAATGTCTCGGTGATGTAATTTGCAACGTTGCAAGATAAATGTCTCGGTGATGTGATGATGATAACGATGATAACTGCATAAGGAGATAAATCGTTAATCCTCCCGTCAGTATTTCTACGGTCTTTTTCCACAGTGAGGCAATGTTAGGTTAATTTGACTGCCGTAAATGAACCCTTAGGGCCGGTTTATCAATGCGCAGTTAAGTTAAAGTAACTGGCAGTTAAAGCTTGTCTGTGAGTTAACCTGTTTATCATTACCCGCTAGCTCAAAACTGGTGGTCAAAGTGCCTGATAAATTAACTGACACTTCAAACTGTCAGTTAAAGCGTTATCCACCAGTTAGTGGCAACATAACCTAACAAATCCAAATAAATCTGTTATTAATTTAACAATATTTTGATGAGGACTATGTTGTGGAACAAATTGACAGAGAAGATGAGAAAAAAACTTATTATTAGCAGATTATTTTCCAGGTCTAATGTAGGTACCAAAAATGAAAAACCTATCTAATAATACCGCGAGATCGAAAAAGAAATTAATCGAAGTTGGCCATGCTCCATGCACAAGCCGTTTGTCGTAATTAAAATTTTTTTATTAAATGTCAAATTGACAGTTTACAATTAGAATTATGACACCTAATTTCTTTTTCGATCTCTCTGTATTTATTTATAGGTGTACCTACTTGTTTCATTTTGAATTTCCAATACTTTTTTTCTAATGCTAAATTTTGCTTTTTCATGATTGATCACGTGAAACGCGATATACAATCGTTGAATACCGAATGCGGATCGAATCTGATGGAACTTTCAAGGTCGGGGTAGTATTGAAATGACCAATCACAACTCATTTCCAGTGGGGTGAGCGTTACCAACTTAAGAGAGTAACAGCTAAACTTCGAGCTACGTAACTGGAAGAAACATCGTGCATTGATAAACACTTTACCTCCGTTAACTGCTAGTTACCCTTATCTGACAGTTACTTAACAGACACTTTTAACTGAGCATTGATAAACCGGCCCTTAGAAACGCATTCATAACTTTGTAAACAAAGGTGAATTTCATGAAATCTCATAGCAAGTATTTATCTAAGCAAATTCCTGATTGTTAAATTGCGTTAGAACTAGTTAACGATTAAACTCCTAATATGAACTGTAAATTTACAAACAATGAATTAAATTTACACGTGTTAGCATCGGTAAAAAATTGGCATTTCTCTACGCCTATTGGGGAAACTGGTATCGTCGTCGTTACGATTTATTCCTCCCTTTTATTCCCTACCAAGCTAACTAAACTAACCAAGCTAACTCACTACGTTGTTACACTCACAACAAATATACCAAAAGTGATGCTTTCACCTCCGTCTACGAAGCAGCCATCTTATTCCTACCAACCCTCTAACTAAAATCCCCAGCAGGACTACCCACTACCCAAAGAGCTCTAACATGCACATGGTTGCCTATGTTTTTTGTTTGATTTTTTTTTTCAAATTCAAATTATTCGAATGTGATTTCGCGCCGTTGTTAATTTTTTTCAGCGCAAAATTTTAATTCAAATTCCGTCACCACAGCACTAATTAGAACCGACGAATCGGCAAGATTTTTGAAACTCTTTCTATACACTTGGAATTACAAGGTTTTATTCTTTACATTCTTAAAAAAAAAGATCTAAAGTTATTTAGACACGATTATCTTCGTACTTTCAAACAAAGTCAATGTCGACAAGGATAGGATTCGAACTCACTTACAAAACTTCCTTAGCTTAAACTTGAGAAATAAAAAAAAACTTATTACCCAAGGCTCTTTCAAGCTTTTTAAAAACAAAACAGTAGGGTTCTTCGAGATTTTTTCAAATTCTTTTCAAATTAAAACTGTATTTCCAAAATTTCAGGACATTGGGGTAAGTCGTACTTGGTTTCATCCATAAAATAATTCGCTTCATTAATTAATATTTTTGAGGCACTCTTCGCAAGTATTCTAATAAACATAAATACACTGACAAACCACATATATGCAAATGCATAATCTTCTACATATTTTAGACAGGCGGAATTTATGCAGCAAAATTGAAGTTTTTGAAAGAGATAAACAAAACAATTTTGGATTAACTATTTACCAGGTGAAAATAAAAAAGTTCCCGTGGGAAATGAATACGAAAAGTGGACTCTGGATGCTAATAATAAAACTGTTACAAAATTTCATTGTAAACAAGTGTAAGAAAAAAAGGTATATGATGGGATCGAACACGTTTTGCAAGTCTCTGTGCTCGGCGTTGTTTATAAATTTTTGTTGAACTTTTTACGTAAATTTAGATACCTAGGGGAAAACTCAAGGTGGATTTATATACCACAAGTGCAGGAGATATTATTGTAAAACATTTAAATAATACTCATACACAAACTTTTGAGATGACGTCATCAAATTGTTTCTGAGGATGATCAGACAAATTTTTGTTAGCGTTTTATTCATAATCATAACATACAACAGTTTCGGAAACTATTTATTTAATCAAAATCTGGACAGACATCGGACGGCAGACAGACAGATGGAAACGGGCGACCTATTGTTTCGCACTTTACTGCCCATGCCACGTCCAGAAAACAAAGTTATCTATTATTCTGTGCGATCCTCAGCGATTTTCCATCGTGTAAAGGCGGGTGTGCAAGAACAGGAAGTGATTAAAATGACTGGACACACGAGTATTGCTTCGAGCAAGTCCCATTACAATGCAACGCAGAACATCATCATAACATGACGGAAAAAATTGTCTTTAAGTATATTTAAACAGAACTTTCTTCCCCCTTGAAATACAATCAATCATATCCAGTTTTTTAGACAAGTTATAAAATTTGATTTTGTTTTTATGACATAAATCAAAACAAAGGTTTGTGTGGACTGTAAACCACAGGTAAAAAAATATATTATGCTTGTGTTCCAAGTGAGTGTTTCATAATCATAACAAAAATTGATCTTTTTTGAGTTGAAAAAAAATTAATTGCTTCATTTCTCTTTTTTTTTTTTAGTCAGTCTGTGTAAAAAATATGAATACACTGACAAACTACAAATATAATCTTCTAATATTTTGCACATTTTAGACAGGACTTATCAATAAAATTTTGAAATGTCAAGTTTTTTGGCGGGATAAATTTTGCAGTTTTTAAGTTACAATATAAATTGTTGTGAAACAATTTTTATTTCTTTCCAGATGTTTAGGATAAAAAATCAAGGCAATCATAAACCGCTAGTATGTTATTAGGAGTAAGTTAGTATGTTATTTTATAAAATTTAAATATCATTTACTATGTAAAATTTTCATAATATTACAAAATTTCACAACAATCAGTCCGATGATTTCAGAGATTATCTATTTAATAAAATTACCAACAGACTACAGACGAAAGACCATAGATGACAGACAGAGGTAAACGGAAGAACTACGTATTTATACTCATGGGTTATGAAACGTCGAGCGTTCGAGAAGTAAAAATGATAAATTACGCGATTAATCCTCTATGAAGAATGGATGGTACCACAATAACCAGTAATATATTTAATTTCAATAGAAGAATTGTATCTCTTTGAATTCACTGATGTTGACTTATACATATTTTAAACATTTCTTCATTCGGACTTTATGCTGTAGATTCCTTCGCCGTATTTTTCCAGAGATACTCAAATGTATATTTCCACATGTTTAGTAATCTCTTGTTGCGTGTATATTTAATGCGGAAAGCACTTGATTTTCCGGTCGAGCCCAACCCCACTGACCCAACTTCGCCAAACCCACGGCTCACGCCTCGTCATACCCGTCATAAATCCGACCTTTACGAGCAGCCCCATCAGCCATCCGTCATCATCTCGCATTTGCTCTAACCATCTAATGAATCACCCGTCGCAATTAGGCAAATTCGAGCCGGAATGGTCAATCGACGCACCCGGAAGACTTCAATTGATCGATCCCGATCGGCCCACGTCTTCCACAATTTCACCAAAAAATCTCGGAAATCTCTCGCCGCTCCCAAAATTGGGCAATCTCGCTCTCGTCGCTTCCCACATCCACGAATCGGGCGGGATGTAAATGGAGATCTGGCGCTTGCACCGATGCGTCCAGCAGATGTTGTTTATGGTAATGTGTTTTTTCGACGCTTTTTCCGAAATTTATGCGTTCCACACACCTTGGACAATCACGGATATGGAGCACGTCCAAGATGACGAAACCCCACGCTCTGGTACCAATAAGTCCAGCCGAGAACACTTGTCCAGTCGCGGGCTGGGCGCCGAGTCGAGTGGCGGTGTTGTGGTGCTGATAACTGGAACTGAAGAAGAAGTGATGAGGGCCGCGGCTTGGCTGCTGCTGTGGGGCGTCGCGGCGCTGGCGGAGGCGGTGGCGCTGGATGCGAGTAAGAGATTTTGGGGGGCGGCGGGATGATGGGATTCGATGCGGTTCGTTCGGGTCTGACCCATTTGGTGCGCTCAATTATGTATGTAAGAGTGAATTTTTTATGTGTTTTAAATGGTTGCCTTGAAAGACGATTAATTCCACCCCCACGTTCTACATCTTTTGGCCTTCAGTGCGGCGATTATGTCGTTGTTGCTTCATTTTGTTCTATTGAGCTGTCAATGACTAAACATGGTGGTTTTCGGTTTGTTGATAGTTAAGAATAAAAGTTTGGAAATTTGGCGTTTGCGACCTTTCTGGAGACAAACATCGTTATGGATATCTTTGATTCATATGGATGCCGTACTGTTTTTCTGCGATTTGGGTAAACATTTTTTTATGGGGTCCCCTTGTATCTCCCATTGTTTCAGATATTACAGTGAAAAAGTTACTACCTTATATAATTTTATATACTGGAATTTAAAAAAAAGAGTTCTTCCAAAATTCCGCACTATACCTACTATCTCGAATTTGTTGACTCTACAATTACAAAAAAACAAAAAAATCTCCAAAAACTAAAAAAAAACATGCAAACATGACAAAATCAGCAAACCACCAGAAAAATTATTTGAAAATTTTGTCTCTAGAAGTATTTATTTTGTTTAATACTAACGATTTCAAAACATGTCAAAAATCTTCATTAAATTGAATTTTAAAAATCGGATGTTTCTAAATCGAAGATTCAAAAAGAGAATATCTTTAATTTAAATTCTCTAAACTCTAAATAAAACTTGAGTGTGGTAAAAAATTACCTCATATAACTTTTTTTGAGAAATTAAAAAACAAAAAATTCAATGAAAATAATTTTATCCTGAATATTTTAACCTTTCTTAAATTTTCGAGCTCCTAAATTTATTCAAAATTTTAAATAACCGTATTCAAAATCTTTAATAAACATATCTAAAGTTCACCAATCAGCTTAATCAAAAATCTAAAAAATTTTCGGAAAAGGACAATCTGGTGTCCCAGATTTCTTGATAAATATCAAATGTTCTGAAATGTACTGAAAATCCTGCAATAATCGTAGCATTTTTGTTATGGATTTGTTCAGCGTAGATGTCGTTAAAACTTATGAAAAAATTCGTATTTGCACTGAAGTGATCCGTTCAGAAAATTATTTTAACGTCTATGAGGCGACTGCTTTTCAAACTATTCGAGTTCAAAATCAAATTTTTAAAATATTTCAAAATTTCTCACATTTCATTTTGGGGAATCTGGAAAAACGGAATTTTTAAAAGAAATAAAGTTGTAAAACACTTCTGGAGATCTAAATCAACGTCGAGATTTTTTTAATAATTTTCCACGCTGCTCCTAAAATTTGATACATCAAAAATTGACCTAGAAGCGAAGTTGTCTAAAAAAACCTAAAAACAATTTTAGGAGACACATTTCGATGGGCTAAATCGAAAAATACAGCGTGCTGATGGTTCTGGACAAAGATTGCAGGCGAATATCGAAAATTCAGCAGCAATCGTAACATTTTTTTTTTAACTTATTTAGTGTAGGTAGATTTGGAAAAATCGAGTGGTCAAAAATTTGAAAAAAAAATCGTGTCATCCGCTAATCAGGAAAAATAATAATCTAAAGTCGAGAAGACGATTGGTTTTCAAAATATTCGGGTACAAATTGAAAATTTTAAAATCTTTCAAAATTTCACACATTTGATTTTTTCATAGAACACTTCTGGAGGTCAAAATTAACAAAAGTTCTTTGGTGAGCTTCGACGGTCCACCGGGAAAAGTACTTAGTGAATCCAAAAACTAGAAAAATTTGTTGAAAATCTAAAAATGATTGAAAATCCTTGAATTTTGAAAATATTGACTGATGCTTTAAAAAATATAAAATGCTAAAAATCATAGAAAACCTGAAAAGATTTAATTACTAATAAGTCACAAAGTTAAAAAAAATAAAAAAAAAAAAACCTTAAAGATTTCATGATTTTTTTTTCTGTGATTATCTGTACATTCTGAATTTATTTAAGATGTTAATGAAATTTTCAGGTCAGAAGATTTTGGAATTTTTAAAGTCTTAAAAATATTTCATTATAATTAATAGGAACCGTTAATTTCCTTAAGAAAAAAATTGCTGAAATGGATGAATTTTTAAAAAATCCTGAAATTGTCAATATCATAAAATTTTCCAGTTTCTACACACAATGGCACTTAATAATTTCCAGATCAAAAAGATTGTTTTCTTTTTTTTTAAATCCATTAATAAAGAAAAAAATTAATAAACAATTTAGTTTCCGTTTAGCTTATCATTGAGTCATTTGCTCTATTTTGATGTCTTTTACCAGACAAATCTGAAAAAAACATTCACTGTACCAAAATAAAATTATGTTTTTGCATCAGAAATAAACACAATTTTAGACAAATTTTTGTAAGTTCCAGTTTCCAGTACTTTAAATTTTTGTATTAAAAATAGGAATTGTTGTTGTTGAAGATTCAGCAAAACACATGTCAGTCCTGAATCATTAAATTTTCAAAAGGTCAAAAATGCTGCTAAGCTCAAATAATTATTATTCTTAAATATTATGAAGAAATGACAGTTAATGAAAAAAATATGTAAATCGTCTTTTTAAATGACATTAAAAATATGTAATTAAAAAAAAATATATTTTTATTCGTCGAAGAAACTTTTGTTTTATTACTTATTATTTATTGCTTATTAGTTATGTTCAGATGTATTTATAAGTTCAAATGTTAAACATAGTGATTAAAACGAAGGTCACTGAAAAAATCCAAATAATGTTTAGATTTTTCTAATATTTTTTAAAGTCACATTTAGTATCACATTATAAATAATATGTTGTCAGTAAACAACACAAATAACCACACTTTCTACGAACATCCATTCGTCAACATTAAATTAATTTTATGTCCTAATCAGAGTTGATTGTTTATGCTAAGAACCGCATAAAAATGACTTTATTTTTCTTCAAATAATCCCAACTTTCCATAAATGCGACAAACACCCATCAAACGTGATTACCCACAACAACCTGTCCTAGATCCTCTTACGTAATCTCCTTAACCAATATACATCTGAACATAATTTTGCTTTTTATTGTTGTTTTACAATTTTACGGATACCTCCAGCACGCTAAAAACCCATCACCACCCATAAATATTTACATTATAATTGTTTTACTACCATATGCCGCCCCACATCGTCTTCTAGTGAAACCAGCGTGTCCATAAAAAACAGTGTTAAGCAAGACGGTCGCCAATGACAAATGCCATGTTCGGAAAAATATTTTCACCTCTTGACCATGCGTCCATCGATATTCCTCAAACTGACACGGAAATGTTGGTTTTTAACACACGATCCCGTTGTCAGTAATCAGACCATATTTGTCGCAGCGACAACTAAAAAACGGTATGTTGCAGCGACCACGAAAGAACTGAGAGCGTTTTGTCTGGTTACGGAAAAATATAAAGTTACAGACCGAGGGGCTAGTGCTTTTCAATTTAATAACTACTAAGATGGCCCCTACACAGCTACTTTTTAAGGAAAACACCCCGATTTTCAAGGGTTAACAGAAAAGCAGAAAAATCGTGAAGACTCCCGTTTTTAAGATATATTTTAAAATTAACATTTTTTAAAGAATTTGCCCGAGTTTTCGAACTCACCCTTTTTTTAGAAAGTCAAAATTCGGACAAAGTCCTCATGAGCGAAGCGAATTTTAAGAAATATATCCTGTTTTATCAAACGTGAATACGGTTTCGGCCAAGAAAAGTTACCATTTAAAAACACTTAAAATTCGTCTTTTAACCCTGTTTTTTCTGTTGGGGGCATTTCAGCATATATGAATACGGTTTTGGCCATGCAAGTTCGAACAAGCCCTCATGAGCAAACCGAATTCACCGTCATGTCTTGTTTTTTTAAAGTATATTTTAAAATGAACATTTTTCAAAGATTTTATACTGTTTAGAATTTTGTACTAGTAGCCCCCCTCAGAACACAACACATTTTTAAAGCTTTTAGCCTGGTTTTCAAAGTAACTTGTGAAAAAATTTAATTTTTAAAGAATTTGCTCGGTTTTTCAAAATCACCCTTTTCAAAAAAAGTCAACATTTCAAGGAAAATACACCGTTTTTTCAAACAAGAATACAGTTTGGTCCAAACAAATTTTTCTTTCAAAAACACTTAAAATTAACATTTTTCAAAGATTTTACCCTGTTTTTCTGTTGGGCTACTTCAGAACTTTAGCCTGGTAGATGCATGTTTTCAAGTTCAGTTCGGATTGCAGAGTTTTTGTTCGGATTAAAGAGGCATCGACTTCAAATAGCCTCTGTTCGGATTACTGGATGTTGAGACAATCGTTAGTTCGGATTATAGAGGTTGTACTGTATTTACAAAATGAAATATGATTTCAAAATTTTGAAATTGGTCAAAATAAAGTACCTCGGTCGTGTGTCAGGGGGGGCAATTGCACCCATTGCCCCCCCCCCCCCCTGGATCCGCGCCTGTTTTTAAATGGTAACTTTTCTTGGCCGAAACCGTATTCACGTTTGATAAAACAGGATATATTTCTTAAAATTCGCTTCGCTCATGAGGACTTTGTCCGAATTTTGACTTTTTAAAAAAAGGGTGAGTTCAAAAACTCGGGCAAATTCTTTAAAAAATGTTAATTTTAAAATATATCTTAAAAACGGGAGTCTTCACGATTTTTCTGCTTTTCTGTTAACCCTTGAAAATCGGGGTGTTTTCCTTAAAAAGTAGCTGTGTTCTCAAGGGGCCATCTTAGTAGTTTAATATGATAAAATTCTTAAAGTAAAACAAATTTCGTTGCAGCGATCACAAAAGAACTGGAAGAAGTAGTCAAGAAGGACACTTTTATCTTAACGCTGAATCATGTGAAGGCAAAGAGGAGGATCGTGCACGTTGAGGAAACGCTGTTTTCCGTGGATTTTCCGGGAACTAAGCAAAAGTTTGCCCTGAAGCTGGATAGGAAGACAAAGAGAGGTTTGTAGGGTGAAGGACAGGGTTGTGTGAAGTTTTTTTTTTGTATGGAAATAAGATTAACTCTCTTGTAATTATTGCGAGGCAATTATTTTAAAAATATACAAAAAGTATTGTTTGTCAAAGTTATAAAAGCGGAAATTTTCAATTGTGAATTTTTTTTTTTAATGAGTGATGATTATCCAATCTGATAATGAGTAAGTAGTAGTCCCTTTTATAATTAAGTAGTTGATTTAATTTTGGAAATTCTATATTTTTGATTTTGAAAAAAGATACAAAATGCAAGAGTATTTAGAAAATCCTTGCAGAAAAAACTGTGAACACATAGAATACAAAAAATACCAAAGATATAAAACATACGCAGAAAAAAAGATACAAATCGGATGCACCGAATAGTAAGAACACGAAGGATACAGAAAAAACAAACATATAAAGCACACAAAAAAAAAACAACGGGAACAACGGAGACAAAAGAAATATTTCAAATAGTTAAAGAAAGACAAATTATCCTAAAATCCTAAATATGAAAACTCAAAAATCCCAAAATTTATTGCTGTTTAAGCGTGCTTTACATTTTTGTTAGCAAAATTTCTTACAAACAGAATTATTCCAGTTGCCAGTAAAGAGTCCTCTATAATTCACAAGAGCTTCCATCTTCACCCAAATCCAAAATTTTCTCTAGCATTTTACTCACTCGCACATCAACAGTGATCGTGGAGACCTTAGAAGACGGCCGCCACCGCAGCCAGCATTTCACAGTGGACACCCTCCACGAAGACAGCACCATCCGCTCCCTTATCCTGGAAGTTAACCAAACCCAACCTGGCGCTCACGCCACCCTCTACCTCAACTGCGTATCTTACGGAATGGTGGCCACCCCCAAGTCCCTCAGAGACATGTACGCTTCCATGGAAAACCCCAAACTAGAAGTTGTAAGTAGCGCATGTTGTCGTAGCGCTGTCATTCTGTCATGCTTCCGTTAGTACCGCGACAAGAAGTACCCCATGGCCGTGGAAGGCCAAAAGGACCTGAGAATGATTTTGAGCAAAAACGAGTGCCCTCTTCTCCCCGAAGACGACTATGATGACTCCTTCAACTTCCTGAGGGACGAACCCATCATCGGTGCCCGCAAGGACCATCGTGCCGACATCCCCATTTTGGACAACATCGATACTAGTAAGTGTCTCTCCTTCCAACAGAAGTTTCGATAAAAAAATCGATAAAATAATAATTTCGCAGACGCCCTGTTCGACGTCATCAACAAGCTCATCATCGCCGTTAACCGCCTCGACAAGGAAATCGGGCAGCACGGGGTGATCGTGGACCACCTGCGTCGCCTCATCGAGGAGTGTGAGCTGTGCAAGCGCCGCTCCCCCGATGTCGTCATCCCCCGGTGCTCCACTCACAACCCGTGTGCCCCTGGAGTGCGCTGCCACGACACACAGACGGGGCCCCGATGCGGCCAGTGCCCCGCGGGCTACATCGGCAACGGCTTCGAGTGCCGGCCCGGTCGCACCTGCAGGGACAACCCGTGCTTCCGAGGGGTGGAGTGCTACGATACCGAGCAGGGCTTCCGCTGCGCCAGTTGCCCTCAGGGGTACGAGGGCAACGGGGAGTCGTGCCGTCGCCGCAACCCCTGCGAGTTCAATCCCTGTGCTCCAGGTACGTTGTACCCAGATGAGTAGATGCTTGTGTGACTTAGTTGCCGGAACGCACTACCTGTAGATAGGCTTTCAGCACGTTGGCTTCGGTGGGACGAAGTCAAAAATATTTGGCCAAAATTTAGAATTTGTTTAAATCAGTTAAAAAATAACTAAATTATTCATTAGAATATATAATATAAAAACTTTAATATCTAAAAATGTTTAATAGTCGTTAACAAAAATTATTAAGTCAGTTATAACAAACAATAAAAAAACAAAGAAATAAATACCCTACTTTTAAAAACAAAATTATAAAAAAATAAAAACAATTATAAAGTCTTGTACTTAATATTATAAATACGTATACTTAATTAATCACTGTCAGGACCGTAGATTCCGTTTCCACATTAAATTTTTCAAAAAGTGACGGGCCTCAGATGGATTTCTGGTATAGACCATAGAATAGGATTTTCTATGGTGTAGACTTTCCTTAAAGACATTATTCAGGGACCAAATGACAAAAGAAGTTTATTTAAAAGATCCTAGTTTTTGTTTTATTAGTATTTTCGAATATATCTTCATTTCTAATTTCTTGTGCTTCCTCTATCAACTGTCCAGCAGGAAGCAAAACCGATAGAATAATAATGGTCCCAGGAATAAGAATTTTATGTATCATTTCATAGACATGTTGAACCATCCATCTGCGACAACAAAATTGTTGCTTTTTCAAAGGCATTTATTACCTAATTTATACCAGACGGGGTTGCGTGGGACTTTTTTATGTCACCGCCAACCTACAAAGTATATTGACCAAGTGAAAAAGTACTTACTTTGAAATATAATTTCAAATATGCCGAGGAGAAACGTTTAGTGCAGGTACTATTTTCCAGAAAGTGTTCATTTTTCTCTATTTTGGCCACGTATTTTCAGTTTCGTCTCACTGTGCGGCGGCGCTTTCGCCGGAAACCGCACAGAGCTAAGACCTCTACACTTAACATGTGACTAAAACTACACTGAGACGTAGATACGTCATTCTCAAACCGCTACAACGGGACGTAGTACCGTACGGTACTGATGATTGGCTCAGTTTTTCTGTATTCCAGGGTTCTGTAGATGTTTTTAGCTGCGTTTAATGTGTGTGGATACATTAATCTCTGTAACAAGCTGTATGTTCTCAATATAGTTGGTTTGAACTAAAGTTTTTGTTTTATTTGTTTCTCTTTTGATAGGGTGCGTGCCCGTTTGGAGGCACCACAAACAACCGCACTCCACCAGACCGTACGCCAGATATCCGTATTTTTAAAGACGTAATCGAGGCACCATTAACCCAAAATATTGTTAAAATGAAACACGGTAACTTGCACACGACGCACCACGTAGTTTTATTTAGTGTAGAGACGAAATTAGCACTGTTATAGTACGACCTCTGGAGTTTTTATTTTTTTAAATAAATGTAGCAAAAATCAGCTTTTGGTTATTCATGACCACTCCACTTATAGGAGTAAGATGTTATCCCACCGAAGAAAATCCTTTTTACCGGTGCGAAGGCTGTCCGGCCGGGTTCACAGGCAACGGTACTAGCTGCCACGACTTGGACGAGGTAAGGAACAACCCACCACTAATCGCAACCTCTACCTCCCCTTCCAGTGCGACTTAGCTCAACCCTGCGACGAGAATGTGGAGTGCCAGAACCTTTCCCCTGGGTACCGCTGCGGAGCGTGTCCGCCAGGCTTCACCGGCAGCCGCGGCAGCCAAGGCGTCGGCCTGGAGGAAGCCATGCGCAACAAGCAGAAGTGCGTCGACATCGACGAGTGCCGCGAAGCGGCGCCCTGCAGACAGAACGCCTACTGCGTCAACACGGCGGTAAGTTACTCCTTTGAGCCGGATCGCAACTCTCGTGTTGAAGCAAATAACCGTGAACATGCAACTGACAGTGAATACTATTAGGGCTCCTACCACTGCGTGGAATGTGCCGGCGGTTACTACGACCAGGTCTCCGGCACCTGCCGAGGCGAAGGCTACTGCCCGAACGGTATCCAGTGCGACAAGAATGGACGCTGCGTCCAGCACGACCAGCACACCTACGCCTGCGAGTGTAAGGTGGGGTGGGCGGGCGACGGGCGGGTGTGCGGACGGGACCGGGACTTGGACGGGTGGCCGGACGTGCAACTGCCTTGCCGTGACCGTCGTTGCAAGAAGGACAACTGCGTGGACGTGCCCAACTCGGGGCAGGAGGACAGCGACAGGAACGGGGTGGGTGACGCGTGCGACAACGATGCTGATAAGGACGGCGTTAACAACGACGACGACAACTGTCCGTACGTTCCCAATCCGGATCAGAGGGACAGCGACCAGGATAAAACGGGAGACGCGTGCGATAACTGTCCGTACGCTTTTAACCCGAATCAGAGGGACGTGGATCATGACGGAAAGGGGGACGTGTGTGATGAAGATATTGATGACGACGGGATAAGGAACGAGGATGATAATTGTCGGACGACGCCAAACAGGGATCAGAGGGACTCGGATAACGACGGGATCGGGGATGTGTGCGATAATTGTCCCTCGAACTACAATCCGAAGCAGCTGGATTCGGATCGAGACAATATAGGAGATGCTTGCGATGTTGGACCCGACCAAGACCAGTAAGTACTAAAACCGTAATTCGTAACAAAATATATCTACTTATTTTTACAGCGACGGTATTAACGACCACATCGACAACTGCCCCACAGTCCCCAACCCGAATCAACTGGACACGGATCGCGATGGTAAAGGGGACGCTTGCGACGACGACAAGGACGGTGACGGCATCAAAGATTTCATGGACAATTGCTACCTAGTGTACAATCCTGACCAACTCGATTCCGACGGTACTGCTCCCACGCAAAGACCAAACGGTATTAATTCTTGATTTTAGGTGACGGCCGAGGCGACGCGTGCCAGTGCGACACCGACAATGACACACGCTGTGACAACGTCGACATTTGCCCCAACAACTCCCTCATCTACCAAACCGACTTCAGTAAGTACCAGACGGTAGTATTGGATCCGGAAGGCGGTTCTCAAGTGGATCCTGTATGGGATATCTTCAACGATGGTGCAGAAATCACGCAAACCCAGAACAGCGACCCGGGTCTAGCTGTGGGTAGCGATAAGTTCGAAGGAGTGGACTTTGAGGGCACTTTCTATGTCAGTACTAACGTCGACGACGATTACGTCGGGTTCATCTTCGGCTACCAGAGCAATAAGCAGTTCTACGTGGTCATGTGGAAGAAGAACGCCCAGACGTACTGGCAGAGTACGCCCTTCAGGGCTGTTGCGGATGCGGGAATACAGATTAAGTTGGTTAATTCGGAGACCGGGCCTGGGCAGATGTTGAGGAACTCGTTGTGGCACACCGGAGACACCCCCAACCAGGTGAAGTTGTTATGGAAGGATCCACGCAACAGGGGCTGGAAGGAAAAGACGGCGTACCGATGGTACTTAATCCACAGACCGAGGGTCGGGTTGATTCGGTTGCAAATTTACGAAGGAGACGCCAAGGTTTCCGATTCTGGGAATATTTTCGACAGGACACTCCACGGTGGAAGATTGGGTGTGTTCTGCTTTTCGCAAGAGATGATTATTTGGTCAGATCTGGCCTACAGGTGTAATGGTAAGTGGCGGTCTTTGTCTGGTACTTTGATGGAGTTTTGTTGTTTTATAGAACGTTTGCCTGAGGCTATGTGGAACGAGTTGCCGAGACGATTGAAGGGTGCAATTGCCAAAGATATCAACAGAGCACACCGGGTTTATGCGGGGAATTCCTACCAATAGTCGTACCAGTCGGTACTATCTTGCCATAAGAGATGTGTTCTTTTAGGTTAAGGCTTACAGACTAATTGTGTGTTTTTGTACGTACTTACCATGTTCAGAGATGTGTAACGTTAATGGTGTTTAATTGTATTATATGAATTGTCAATAAAGATATTAACATAACATTTGTGGTATTAAAATTTTATGGGACCGTTAAAACTGCTTACACTGGGTAAGTGGTAATTCTAAAGTGACGGTAGATCTTTGATGAGAGGAAGAAAAATATCCTGAGAAATGTGAAAAACTGTTTATTTTGGTTTAATTTTAACACATATGAAGTTTGCTGCCGAAATAACTGCACAGTTTCTGCAACGGATACAACGTTTTAAGGTTTTATGAAAAAAATAAAGTTAATACAAAGATAAATATTTTTGTTAAAGCTCACGTTATTTGCACTAACAGTCAGAACATTAACTATACATAGTTAGCACAGCCTTTAGAATAGTTAGTAAAATGGAATATCATCTTCAGCTCATACAAGCCCATTGGCTACGCAATATTTTGCCACATCTTTAATCTTCCTAATAAAATCGTCATTCGGAGGTCTAACAAAACTTTCAAGAAACTCCTCACACGATAAATCTTCCACATTAGCGTTCGGCCTTTTGCTAAATTCCAGCGACAGAATTCCAAAATTCAAAAATGTAAGAGCCAATCCAAACTTTGCGTATTTTATCCAATGTTCCTGTAACTTTTCGTACGAAAAAAAATCGTCGGCGTCGCATTTAAATTCCTTGCAGGACGTTGCCAAATGAATATGATACTCCTTGAGAAAATCTTCTAAATTACTGAGATCATCAGACGAACAATTCGTAAAGAAAAACACAGCCAGATCAAAAACAGGAGATCCAAATTTAACCAGTTGCCAGTTGGTGAATTTTGCTCTTGAAACAGCATGGCTCTCTTCGGCTTTCTAGAAAAAACGACAATAATGCAATCAAAAATTATGTTATGTATACTTGGTTGCCTACCCACCTCATAACAAAACAGCATGTTTGTGGTGACATCACCGTGAACCACAACCTCACCATCTCTTGAACCATTTAACACATTTTCCATGAAATTGTCCACTTCCTCGTCAAATTTCTTCAATTTCTTGGCTACCCCTTCATCGCTGAAGAACTTCAAAGTATTCCTCAAATTTTCGTGAATGATTTTCAAGCTGTGTTTATTTTCCAAACCACTTAAGTATCCCCCTTGCAGTTCCATTTTGAACCCCTCAAACTTCTCCGGATTTACCTTCCCGAAAGCGAAACACAGCGCGTGAAACCTCGCAAATTCCTTCAAAACTGCCACAACGTGTTCTTTCGTCAGCTCTCCAACCCACTTTTCATATCTGGGCGTCCACTCTGACCCATTATTCCTCACAATGATGGCCTCTTCTCCCTCGTCCAAACTGGCGGCTATCAAATCCGGCGCTCCTTGGAACCCCTCCTCCTTTTTTGCCCCCGCATCCCGCTGAAACTCCACCAAGTCCACCAAGACCGTGTTGTAAAAAAACGCTTCCCTCGCGAATAATCTCTCGACGGGGATGCATTCTCTCAGTTTTTCGTTTTTGGGGGAGCTCTTCACGCTCACGTCTACGATGTCAACGAGGCAGCCCTTCCGGCACACTACCGACAAGGCCGTCAGTGCGCAGGAGGTCAACGTTTTGTCTGTTAGTTTGTCAGTCTTCAGGGTGACTCTGATGGTGCTGTAACCTACCCTTATTGGCACAGTTTTGATGATGTTGGTGACGCGCTCGTTGACGATCACGTCCGGACACATTTTGCGATAACTTTTGTAGATACTCATTATCTTTGAGTGCGTGAGGCGTGGTTTTGACGCGTCGTTGTTTTTATTTGGGTCGGGTATTTTTGTTATGTAATGGGATGTTGGATGTTGGGATGCGCTGTTTGGGCTTGGCGGTAAAAGGTGGGTCGCGTGGCGGATTTGAAAAAAATGTTTGTTTTGGGAGCGACCGATTGTCTGGGAACGAATAATTATTTACTTTAATTGCGGTTTATGATAAATAAAGAGTGTGTATAATTGGTTGCATCCTTTCAAATACGAGAGGTATAATACATTCTTTTTTTAACAGACGTTCGTTTTTCTTTGACAATTTTGTTATACTATTAAATATTATAAGAGAATTCGGTTCATATTTTATCAAACTTTGTTTTATTACAATATACAAGGAACTTAACACGTAACCGACATGTGACGTCAAAGATTACGATATTTTAGAATTAGTTTAGAAGCGATTAAAATAAATGATTCGTTTTTGTTCCACAAATATTGAAAAATTAGAAAATAAAATATATAACAAATATTACTTTTTTCGTTCTTAAACGATTTAGAAAATTTATAATGTGTCAATAAATTCATGCACTGAATGTCCTAGTTCACCCAGTATATTAATCATTGAAAAGATTCTTATTCAAAGTTGCTTACATCGTTTTGACAAAACAGTCGTTTCGCTACAAGAAAAGTGTTTTTATTAGTCATAAAATGAGGAGATTTCTTCCACGATTAGCAACCATCTGCTGCCTATATCATGTTTTATGGAATTGCCGATTTGAATAAAAATTCCTAAGCGGAAAAGTGCGATTTTTCGTCTGTCCAAGGTGATAAATCACCACAATAAAGCCATAAAATAAATGTACATCTGTATACATCTGATCATAATCGCGCTTGGAATGAAAGCTGTCACAATGTTGTGCCTTTCTTGAGAACTAATAAGCGTATAGTCGGGGAAATTTTGAATAACAGAGGTAACTTTTAAAGCCGACATAGAATTACCATAAAAATATTAACTTCTGTCAAATAATGTTTATTACCCGTCTATTACGAATAAACACCTGCACAGGAGCGACATGAAGCGGCATTGAAAGTAGGGCCAGACAGAGAAGGCGTCTTTTAGATGATTACTTTGTAAATGTTTAAACTATTTGCGTTTTATAGAAACAATGAACATTTGGCAATTCATCTGTCTGCAGTCTATCGTATATATCTTTATTTTGTTCTCAATTGGCATATACTTGTTGCGTCATATGATGTCCCGCATGTACCCCTTTTATTGCTTCTTTCTTCCCTTCCGTTGAAGATGTTGATGCCTAGTACGTACTTGGATCATAACCTTCATCTTAGGGGTTCCGAGCGTGTTTTTCCTCTTGTATGTAAACAGCAGCAAACATTAATTTGTCCTATAATTTTTTATGACATCTAAAAATTAACTTCGTCCTCAACGGGTACTCTTGGTAGTACGAGATTAACATAATTCATATTTTAAGAACGGGTTTATTTATAACCGTGAGCTAGGTACTCGCAAACTTTTATTGCGTAGCTTTATTAATAAAATCCTGAAAAATTGGGGTCGACTAGTTGTTTCTTTATGCGTAGTTTTCCGATTTGGACAGTAGTTGGTAAAAAATTTTATTCCTGCTGATATTTTATTACGACTATTATCTGTCAATAACTTACACATTCTATTTGAAAGGATGTACACTCTGACCTATAATTTCTCTAAACAAGTACACGTACTACGAAGTAGTACCGCCACAAAAATTATCGCACTGAAAAAAATTGTAGATTTTTTCAATCTGCTACGAAATCCATTTAGTTACATAATCGGTACTCCTATACACGGAATAAAATTAATGAACACCTCGTTAGAACATGATGTAAGTATCTACAATTACAATCGCAACAATAAAAAATAACGAACGTAAAAATAATTTACGGCTGCACACACCACAATCTGAACTTATGTAAATCCCGGAATTGAAGGTGCCGCAGAAGGCGTACCCATAGGCAACCCATAACGCATGTCCTAATAAATAACGAAACTAGATCAAAAGCAGTTTTAACGGGAATATAATTTACAATATCAACATTAAAGCGAAATTGAATTCTCAAAAACGCTAATCCGACGTTATCGCATTATCATAAATTAATCCCTATATGAATAGTCTAGGCGGAGCAGGTCGTATCGTTTTTCATTCGGCATAATTTAATATCAAAATAAATCAAAACTGCGTACTTTGTATTATTAAAATGAGAACATGAGCAACCTAATTGAAAAATAATTGACTTAAACGTGCGCGTTCTAGTTAGAAAGTCAACAAATTAATTAGCCGTCCGGTCGTACCGCAGTAGTACTTCTCAATAAATCCTGGAATAAAACACCGTCCACCCGTGGTGCGAAAATTGGGTCACTTATTTATGGCGCCTCTCATTTTTCTTCTTCGCTTGGTCAAAAATCCAGGCTAATCTTCTGGAAAATTTTTTCTTCCTGCCCACCATCCGCCGAATGAATGAAAGTGTCCCGTTTCCCGCTGCTTCTTCTTCGGTGCTTCATGCTGGCCAGTTCTTCGCACATTCTCTTCAGTAGCGGCTGTTGCAGCACCAGCTTTCGAACCCACTTCCGAGTGACGTGAGTCTCAAAGACGGTTCGGACGGCGCGATGACTTCCGATTACGATAACTTGTTCCGGCTTTTAAAAAACTGATTTTTGGTGGTGTGCGTTGGTACTTTGGCGTTTTGGAAGGTTGTCGGTGGGGGTTGGAGGGAAACTGCTTCACATGGAATAAATGTGAGTTTTTTGTTTAATACGTTAATTATAGAATTGTTGTTGTTAATTAAACTGTTTTCAAAGCGGTGATTTAAAAATTTGTCAGTTGCTAATTGCATGTTATCACGGGTTTAATTGCGTTTTAAGTGTTGCGTGAGGTTTATGTTGTGTGATTTTATTTTGATTGTAATCTTTTAAATTAGTTAGATGCAGCAAACCGTTTTTTTTTGCAATATAGTCGATGTAGAAATAGCAGAGAGGCATATAACTATAGTTCAATAATCTTATAAAAGCACGCACATTTATTTATTTTTTAATTATTATTATTATTTTTTGTCAAGTAGTATATTATTGGATATTTGAATCGTAAAATAATTTTGCTGTAAGTTACTTCAGGTATCAAATTTAAGGGTTTATAATAAGTAAGTTTTACTTCTTTGATTTTTGGCTTGATGGTATCTTTGTTGTCTATAGAAATTTAATTTTATCCTTTCTTAAAATATTTAACACTTCAGACGTCTCTGATTGTTTTTCGAAGTTAGATGTATTTTGTCAGTAAAACAAATTCGTTTCAAGTTAGAACATTTATCTTAGAAGAGCATCTGCCGTTATTTGCCTAACTCAGCAAATGTTAACATTTATATGCTCAATCTTGTTCCAGTGCCAATAATACTTACGTCTAAAGTCAGAAACAAACATGTTCAGTGCTTCTTTAAATGGACGTGAAACAGTCTTTACTTTAAAATGTCATAAAATAAAAAAACAATGTAAACAATTAAATACTTACTTCCTCATAGAGATTTACGGATTAGCAGATTGCTAATGTTAAATTTCAACCCCGAAAAAACTTTGTAAGATAACATTTTAATAACATTTGGTTTAAAGAGCAAAGTACGATAAGCGAAATTTTTAAATTACTGATACCTGAAATCACCATGGCTCATAAACCTTTCCACACTTACTGCACGGCTTTGTGAATCCTGTTTTTTTTTGTCTAGAATATAAATTGGAAATGCATTACAATTAGGCCGACGTTAGCAAAACCGTTGATAAAATCAATCTCCACATTCTAGTTTACCAGTGTTAGCTATATATGGTAGATTGTCTTTAAAAATAATTTTGTAGTTATCTTGATAACAAGTTAAAATAAGTAACGTTTGATCTTATCGCACGCACGGCTTGTAACTTCAAATGTCCCTCAGGGTTCCATATTAGGATATTTGCCGTTTACGAATTTCATTATCGACGTTGAAACGTAAGATTTACAGCACCAGTAAAAATTCCTCCGACACTGATTTGTCACGAACCGAGTTGAACTTATTGCTTTTGTTTAGCAAAATGTTTAAAATGCTTTAATTTTGCGAACTTATGTGACGAATTTATGCAAAATTATTAGTTTTTGTAAATATTTTCCTGTTATTTATCATGAACAAGTAAGTTGGAACATTCAAATTATACTGTTAAGAAACTGCAGAGAATCACTAGAAATAAAAAAAAGCTTCCGAAGCTTTTGGGCTGTTCTTTGGCAAAATGGCGTATAAAAGCGTGTAATAAATGTATATAATTCAATTACGTTTTACAGTTAGTAAAATTCCTAGCATCCCCGGGTTCCAGTTTTATAGTTTAAGTTCTTTGTTCACAGACGATTTTAAATTAAATATATCAGTTCCACAATTAAAACGGTACGCACATTCTGTTTTATCTGTTATGTCCTGTAAGGTAAACAGTACTTTAACGTTTTAGTAAATTTTAAACATCTGTTTGATTTCGTCTCAGTGATACGCCAATGGTTTTATCCTTTTCTTCTGGTATACATCGATTTTATGTTTCCACTTGACGTTGCAAATGCTTTCGTATTGTGATAATAGTGTATCGTCACGGAAATGTTACTTTCAATGTAAACAGTCACGTTCAAAACAAGAAGCTCACGCCTGTTAAAGTTCAAGTCAGAAAAATAATCTTTTATTATTATTAAAACTTTACACGAAGAGGCTTTTTTCAAGCGTCAGTCAACTATCGTTTTTCCACACGGTGACCTTAGTCACAAAGGTCACGACACAAACAAGGCAAAATGATTCGAAAATCCAATAAATTAGCCATGCAACCATCTAGCGAAATTATTCCTCGCACACTTCAAAGTCGGTGTTTTCGTGTAGTTATTATATTTATACATTGCTTAATTAAACAAGAACAAATTTCGACTTATTTAAATAAAGTCGATTTCCCATGGTACACCCGCTTGGGAAACGCCATTTAAACGCGAAACCGATAGTAGAACACCGCGATTGTTGTTTATCGAACCCCAGCAAGGTCGCGCAATTAAGCTAAAAAACTTTCTTCGCGCAATTAATCAAAAGTGACTGCACGCTTACGCATAATCGAAGATTATCGCTTATTAAATCCCGCCTCACTTTCAACAATCCGTGCCCGCAACACAGGAAAAAATCGCTTCCTCCGGATCGCAATTGCACAAATCCTATCGATACAATGCGACTTTCACGATGGCCCGATTTCTCACAGCTGAGAAAAAACTCGAACATGTGCACAATTTGTCAGGAAGTCGAAGAGAAAATCTACGACTCATCGAACAGAAAACCAACAGATCGAGGTCTCGCAGATGAAAGAACGGTCACAGTGGACGCTCAGAAAAAAGAAAAGTTTCGCACGAAGGATAAACCTCAAAGTGTCGAAAAGCAAATTTCTGCGCCATTCTTTCAGCTGACAAAAAAGTAATCTGATAAATTGCGATGTTTTCAAAGCTAATAAAGCATTAAGAGGATCATCGCGGTTAATGAAGCGGCTCGGTGAATGAAATGGCGGAGGTCCTCATTTTTGCCATTCCGGTGAGTTTGAAGAGATGCTTGGGATTGCGGCGTGACGGCGATGTCGCAGGAATTGTTATTGATGTTTGGAGTCCGCGGCACGATGCTGGAGTCTGATCAAAGAGCGAGGCGGGATAGCATTTGTCGAGGATTGTTGTAGAGTCGATAGCAATGTGGTTTTAGCTTCCGACGTTGAACTGTCAGGGGTGGCGAAGCATATTATTTAAATTTTAACTTTAAACTCAATTTTATAGTAGGTAGTATTTACTTTTACAATAACTAGTTGAAGCCCGTGGAGAAGTCTGCTGAGATTCAGTACGTATAATTAAGTTAAATAGTTTTAAACATTAAATTAAAGTACAATAGTTAAAGAAACTAAATGCATTAGCATTATAAAATCCATTTAAACGTATATAGGCAAATTAAGTATAAAAAAAATCCACAATAATAGTGAACACCACTTAATTATATCTTGTTATGCACGTTAGAATTAAGTTTGTAACTTGCAATATTATTTTTTACATACATATATTAAATATTCATAAATATAGAATGCCGGAAATGCTAATACACTTAACACTATAAACTGGTGTCAACAGTTTTCTCTATAGCCGAGACATGCAATGACCCTGATTGCATTGAACTATTTGTACACTTCCACCTTCTATTACTTAACAATGACATCTATAGTGTTTTTTCAAAGCAGTATCATAGGCAAAAAGTAATATTTGACTTTTCATGAAACAGGAGAATCATTGATGGGCATGGCGCGATACCATAATAAACTTTAGAAGACGTTTGAAAATTATACTTCTTAATAGGGATTTTCAAAAAATGATGACGACAGTTTGCAATCATTCTCATTAATATTATAATTATGAGTTTTGTTGAGTAAAATACAATGGGATACGCACTCAAAAGTCTTACTGAAGTTAAGAATGCTGGTAATTCTAAATTCAGTATTTTCAAGACAATTATTGTTTATATGTATGTCTACAAGCTTTAAGAGAGCACCTCAAGTACTGCGTTGGTTATTTTTTGCCTTCCTTGTTTCTTCTTAATTTAGACTTACGCAATTCTGTTAAAAATTGGAAACTCCTAGGAAACTTTACTTGAGACCTAGGCAAGCCACGAGTTGTAACTATTTTCTGAGGAACTGCAGGATCTGACAGTTCAGTTAAGAGCTTAATGAAATAACTAAATTCTGAATTTATGTCCATTGGTTGTACAAATCTCGAGTCTATCATACTAATAATAAACATTCTATACTTTAGTGATCGTGTCATAAGAGTTGCTAACATTTGTAAAAATACTGTCTAAGCACAGTTTTTTAATTTACTTGAAAAATTAACAGTAAATTTCAACCATAGCTTAGTCAAAAATTGGTCAAAACTTATTTAGACAGAACTTCCCTGGCCCCATACAATATACAATCGAACAAATAACAAAAAAAATTAAAAAGTTAATTTTGGGCCACCATTTTCTAAATACTTGTTTCCGGGTAGCCTAAACCGTCCGGAAACAAACTATTTCCGCCTTATTAAACCGCAAAAAATATATGCGAAGGAGAGTCCGCAACTGACTGTCACTTTCAATTCTTATTGCCACTCTGTTATATCAAGAAATTAGAATTTTCAATATATAATACATTTACGTGAAATGTATGTGCAAAAGCTTACGTTCTGGCCTTGTCATGCAAATAATTATTATTTTATGACAACCCTTATAAGTAAAAAATATTTTATTTTTATTTTATTTTTATTTGATTTTTTATTTTCCAACGGGGTTACACCCAATTACAGGAAAAACTAAAAATTAAAATTAAAAATTAACAATAACAAAAAATATAGAGAAGACAAGTCATAGAGCAAAAAAATGATCTAATATTACTTGAACGCTCCTCAAGTACAGTCGTACAAATTTAGCTTTTATTTTTTGTTATAACTTCTATAATTTAAAATAAAGATATGTGTGGACTGTTAAAGCACACGTAAAGAAGCATGCTAGGCAGTAGCGTAAATAAAACCTCCGTAGCCCATGGGGCGCGGGGCGTTCGAAGTGCGAGGGGACGCAATACGCACAGATGCGGACGGTATGAAATATGTTTACAACAGGTAACCAACAGGCAAACAGCTTCTCTGGTGGGAATCGAACCACACGTTTACCGCGTGCCGGGCGGGTGCTCTTATCACTAGACTA